CTCTGCCACTGGGTCTGGGGCCCCGGCGGATGGATCGAGGAGCTCGGAGCCAAAGATTTTGCGGGGGGAACCGTCGTGCACATCAGCTCCGGCGTGTCCGGCTTTGTGGCCAGCGGCCTTGTCGGCCCGCGCAGGCACGCGGAGAAGGAGCCGACCTTTGGGACATGCTCATTGGCTTATGCCGCTAATGGTTTCAAGTCCAACTCGGCAAGGATCCACGGGCACAAGTTTCCAGTCATAAGTTCCGGCACTCTCATGACACAGTCGATAGGAGTTGGGTCCGGCCAACGCGCCCTTCGTGATCCTCGGAGGCTCCCTGCTGTGGTTCGGCTGGCTGGGCTTCAACGGGGGCTCGGCCCTGGCGGTCACGGATGGCGTGGCCTCGAGGGCTGTGGCCACCACGCTGATTGCGGCGGCATCGTCCATGCTGACCTGGACCGCTCGACCGACTCGTGACTCGTGACTCGTGATTCGTGCCGACTCGTGACTCGTGCCGACTCGTGCCGAGTCGTGCCGAGTCGTGCCGACTCGTGCTGCGTGTCGTCACACGGGGCCGACTTGTTTCGATCAGGATCTTCATGGAGCGGATGCTGAAGGGCAAGTCTTCCAGCGTTGGCGCCATGGCAGGTGCCGTCGCAGGCCTGGTGTGTATCACCCCTGCAGCTGGCTTTGTGACACCCGGCTGGAGCATCCTCTTCGGGGTGTTGGGCGCCCCATGGTGCTATGTGTCCGTTGAGCTGCTTAACAAGCTCAACTTTGTGGACGTGGCTCGGCAGCGTTTCTTGGGCCAAAAGGACGTCATCTGGACATGAACTGCTAAAGCATGCCATGGTCCTTTGCTTTTGTACAAGGAGGACACAAAGCACCTGCGGTTTGCGGCTTGAGTTTGGGGGGGGGGGGAAGAATCCGGAGGATGGCTTGCAGTGCCTCGGAGCGTGTCTGATTTGAGTGAGGACACTTTGGACGCCTTCGGCCTGCACGGCATGGGCGGCATCTGGGGTGCGGTCCTGACAGGCATTTTTGCCTTGGAGGAGGGCCTGATCTACTCGGGCAGCTTCCTTCTGATTGGCAAGCAGATCGCAGGCGGGCACTGGAGAGCATGGGCAGGTCACCAAAACAGGTCACAACCGCGAGAGGAAGCGAGTACCTCAGTCTCGTTCCATCCCAAGCGCTCCGTGCTTGGGGAAAGACGGAAACACTTGATTGCCCTCTAGGAGCCTTGGCTGGCGCGGCCTTCTCTGCCGTGGGCACGGCCATCATTGTGCTGGTCATGCAGCTTTGCTGCGGTTAGTCGATGTCGGGTTTAGATGTCGATGCGGAATTTGCCTTTTTGCTTAGGAAGCTGGTGGTGGATGTGCGGGTGCCGGACGACCATGAGAGGAGCGGCGTGGATGAGCACACCCACGGTGAGTTCTACCACAGCCCGGTGAAGGCCTACAAGCCGAAGGAGTCGAGCGAAGCCTCCAGCGAGGTCTAAGGCCACGCTTGGGGATCAGAGAGAGCACAACTGCACAAGGCATCGCATTTCAGGGCAATAGACCCTGCACCGTGCAGAAGACTGGTGCGTAATTCGTGGGTTGACGCAATCGGCCACCCCTTTTCCCTTATTGGAGGGCAAATGTCAGCCAACGAGTTGGCATGTTTCGGCTCTCCTTTGCATTAGTCCCACATTTCTGATGGGAACGACACAACGACATCATGCTGAAGGCTGGAGGTCAAGGCATTGACGTCAGGTTTTCGCGAGCGGTCGAGGGGCTGTCTGTCTCGTTTTGAATCGGCTGCGAGCGGCGCTTTCAGCGGCTAAAAACATGGCGCATGGGCCTGGCATGGGCACGTCTATTCGCGAACAGCCAGGCCAGACCCTTGTTGGATCTGCCGAGGAGTTTCACATTTCACGGACGTCGAGGCAACTGTTTCGATGCGAGCAGGTCGGAAGTGCAGGATACGTCGGATTTCGTTTGGCGGCTGAAGCCATTCCTTGCCTAAGCTCTCCCCCAGTCTTTCCGCACTTGCCATGGCAGACCTTGCAGCAGCCACGGTAGATGCAGGCGCCACAGCCTGGGTGCTGACGTCCACCGCTCTGGTGTTCCTGATGACTGCCGGGCTGAGCTTCTTCTACGGCGGCCTGGTCAGGGACACGAGCATCATCAACACCATGACGCTTGGTGTGATATGTCTGGTATGTGTGATTGAAGTCTCTTTTTCACGTAGGGCACTTCATTTGATTGTTTGAAGCCATCCTCATCGTGTGTTTTGTTTTTGCTTCACATATATATATATATATACATATGCATAATGTATAATGTATATCTCGCCATGTGCCTTTGGAGCAAAGGCGGGATATGGTGGGAAACGTAAATGAGGTCTCTCGCAACTGGTCCAAGAGCCAAGGATGATGAGCATTGTGTCCATGGGCGTCGTGACCATGACCTGGGTGATCCTCGGTTTCTCCATCGCCTTCGGCAAGAATGGCCCGGTGATCGGCAACGCGGACTACGCGCTCTTCATGAACCTGGACATGGCGCCCTGGGGCGAGTCAGGACTGCCGGGCCTGTGCTTCGCCTGCTTCCAGATGACTTTCGCCATCATCGCCAGCGCCATCATCTCCGGGTCCTTGGTGGAGCGCATGAGGTTCAGCGCCTACGTGGTGCTCATTGCTTTGTGGTCGCTGGTGATCTACGCCCCGCTCTGCCACTGGGTCTGGGGCCCCGGCGGATGGATCGAGGAGCTCGGAGCCAAAGATTTTGCGGGGGGAACCGTCGTGCACATCAGCTCCGGCGTGTCCGGCTTCGTGGCCAGCGGCCTTGTCGGCCCGCGCAGGCACGCGGAGAAGGAGCCGACCTTTGGGACATGCTCATTGGCTTATGCCGCTAATGGTTTCAAGTCCAACTCGGCAAGGATCCACGGGCACAAGTTTCCAGTCATAAGTTCCTGCACTCTCATGACACAGTCGATAGGAGTTGGGTCCGGCCAACGCGCCCTTCGTGATCCTCGGAGGCTCCCTGCTGTGGTTCGGCTGGCTGGGCTTCAACGGGGGCTCGGCCCTGGCGGTCACGGATGGCGTGGCCTCGAGGGCTGTGGCCACCACGCTGATTGCGGCGGCATCGTCCATGCTGACCTGGACCGCTCGACCGACTCGTGACTCGTGACTCGTGATTCGTGCCGACTCGTGACTCGTGCCGACTCGTGACTCGTGCCGACTCGTGACTCGTGCCGACTCGTGACTCGTGTCGACTCGTGCCGACTCGTGCCGACTCGTGCCGACTCGTGCTGCATGTCGTCACACGGGGCCGACTTGTTTCGATCAGGATCTTCATGGAGCGGATGCTGAAGGGCAAGTCTTCCAGCGTTGGCGCCATGGCAGGTGCCGTCGCAGGCCTGGTGTGCATCACCCCTGCAGCTGGCTTTGTGACACCCGGCTGGAGCATCCTCTTCGGGGTGTTGGGCGCCCCATGGTGCTATGTGTCCGTTGAGCTGCTTAACAAGCTCAACTGTGTGGACGTGGCTCGGCAGCGTTTTTTGGGCCAAAAGGACGTCATCTGGACATGAACTGCTAAAGCATGCCATGGTCCTTTGCTTTTGTACAAGGAGGACACAAAGCACCTGCGGTTTGCGGCTTGAGTTTGGGGGGGGGGGGGAAGAATCCGGAGGATGGCTTGCAGTGCCTCGGAGCGTGTCTGATTTGAGTGAGGACACTTTGGACGCCTTCGGCCTGCACGGCATGGGCGGCATCTGGGGTGCGGTCCTGACAGGCATTTTTGCCTTGGAGGAGGGCCTGATCTACTCGGGCAGCTTCCTTCTGATTGGCAAGCAGATCGCAGGCGGGCACTGGAGAGCATGGGCAGGTCACCAAAACAGGTCACAACCGCGAGAGGAAGCGAGTACCTCAGTCTCGTTCCATCCCAAGCGCTCCGTGCTTGGGGAAAGACGGAAACACTTGATTGCCCTCTAGGAGCCTTGGCTGGCGCGGCCTTCTCTGCCGTGGGCACGGCCATCATTGTGCTGGTCATGCAGCTTTGCTGCGGTTAGTCGATGTCGGGTTTAGATGTCGATGCGGAATTTGCCTTTTTGCTTAGGAAGCTGGTGGTGGATGTGCGGGTGCCGGACGACCATGAGAGGAGCGGCGTGGATGAGCACACCCACGGTGAGTTCTACCACAGCCCGGTGAAGGCCTACAAGCCGAAGGAGTCGAGCGAAGCCTCCAGCGAGGTCTAAGGCCACGCTTGGGGATCAGAGAGAGCACAACTGCACAAGGCATCGCATTTCAGGGCAATAGACCCTGCACCGTGCAGAAGACTGGTGCGTAATTCGTGGGTTGACGCAATCGGCCACCCCTTTTCCCTTATTGGAGGGCAAATGTCAGCCAACGAGTTGGCATGTTTCGGCTCTCCTTTGCATTAGTCCCACATTTCTGATGGGAACGACACAACGACATCATGCTGAAGGCTGGAGGTCAAGGCATTGACGTCAGGTTTTCGCGAGCGGTCGAGGGGCTGTCTGTCTCGTTTTGAATCGGCTGCGAGCGGCGCTTTCAGCGGCTAAAAACATGGCGCATGGACAGACACAGGGGAAATGCAGTTTGGGGTGCTGGTGCTGATGGTGCTGTGGGACGCAGTTTGTGGGGAGCTGTTTGAGGTGCTGGTGACGGTGCGGGCGCATTTTGCGATATTGACGCTTGGGCGCTATCGGGCATGCAGGTGACGGTGCAGGCGCATGTTTGCACCTTGACTGTAGGGTGCAAGGGGGGCATGCAGCTTAGGTGGTGGTTCGGGGGATTCTGTTTGGGGTGCTGGTTAATTTTCGCAAGATTGACGCTGGGTGTCTTGGGGGGTGCTGTTTGGGGTGCTCTTCAGGGTGGCGCATTTTTGCTCGATTGACAGCCGGGTTTTGCTTGGTGCGTTCTTCGGGGGGTGTGCTTTTGGAGGTGCTGGTGTTGCAAGCACTGCTATCTGGGGTCTATGCTGGTGTAATTTCAAGTGGCACGGCTCCAAATGCCTGAGGTTCACAGACCTGGCAGCTGCTCCGGTGCGGGCGCAGATGTGGGACGAGCACATGCCGAAGACTTGGGTGCACTCAGGAATCTATGCAAAGGCGCACGCGACATGCGCAAGTTGGCCTTGACTTTGCCTTGATGGCGAGAAGTAATTCTGACAGTGCTTCACGGACGGTACTCTACTGTAAGAGTTGGTGATTGCACGCCAGCAGGCTTCGCGAAAACACCACTCAGTCTTCGCGCTGAACAGCTGTCCCGCCAGAGAAGCGGGTGCCCATCGAAGTCTAGCTCCAAAGATCCCAGAGCCACACGTGTAATAATCTTGTTCGTTTCAATCCTTTGCCGCCGGCTCGTTGTCCACTTGAGCTGTCAAAAGATGCTTCCTTTTGGAACCCTGTGGCCTTGCGCCGGCCTTGCGCCGCTTTTTACACAAAGGAATGACCCCTGATTGTGACCCACCCTGCGACCCACCCCCCCCGGCGGTTGCATCTTTTTGAAGGTGCAGAGTGATGTGCTGCAGCACGAGCCGGCGCTGCGTGGCAAAGTCCTCGAGGCGCGGTCGAATCGAAGCTGTGCCTGCGCTGGCCTTGGCGCCTTTGAGAACTCCAGGGTGGGACATGAATCCCCAAAATGATGCCCAAAGGCTCCATCCAAGTCACGCCCCACGTGCCAAGCGCAACGCACTTGGCGGACCTAAATGCGGGGGTCGCTTGTGGCTTAGATGGTTAGCTCCGAGAAAGGCCAGTCATCAGATCCAAGGTGCTACTTCCACACGCTTTGTGGTACTTTTTCAAAAGGTCCGCAGGGCTCACAAAGATCCCAGAAAGTGTGGGGGAACTTTCATGGGCTCGGAGGCAAGGAGCTTCCACGATTATAAGTATATACTGCCTGGAAAACTTGTCGGTGAAATAATATATTATACATATATATATATAGAAATGTATTGAAACTATATATATATATATATATATATCATATATATATATATATCATATATATATATATATATATATGTATATATATATATGTATACACACACACATATATATATATATATGTATATATCATACATATATATATATATGTATATACATATATATATATACATATATATATATATATATATATGGTACCCCCCCCTGGAATACTCAGGTTGTTGGCAAGAAATTGGCATTTTGGCTGTAAAAAATGCATGCAAAACACACGTTCCAGCTTCTAAAAATGAGGCTCCAAAATGCACTCCGTTTTAGACTTAAATTCTAGCATCGGTACTTAAGGTTGAGCTTAAGTTCTGCTTGGTTGGAATTTGCATGGAGTTGAGCGTCTAGTCAGTTCATTTCAGAGTCGCAAGGAATTTGTCGCCCCCTGTCTGGCCAAAAAACCTCAGTTCTGGCCAAAAACCTGAGTATTTCAAGGGGGGGGGGTAGCATATATATATATATATATACACACTAGCCCATACCTCGCCCCGCACCTGAACCAAACAGACAATTTTCCCCTTGCATGCCAATTCTGCATACTTTTACGCCTGGAACCAGCGAGGGAACGCGACTTGGAGAGGCGGTGTCGAAGGGCCGCTGCCGGGTGCTCTTCACGGGCCACTCCCTGGGTGGCGGGGCCGCGCTGGCCGCGCATCTCTGCTTCCTGGCGCGGTGGCAGGTGGGAACCGGGGCTTCCAAAAGCCACGCCCAGCTTAGCCGGAGGAGTACGAGTCTTGCCTAGGCAAGTGAAGCCCATTTACCACCTCAAGTGGTTGAACATGAATCACCACCTGCAAATGATGTCTTGGCCGGAATGGCACACCCCCCATTGCAATTCATGCCCTTTTGTGTTTTAGATATTTGGTGTTCGCGAGGGAACCCTGCAGGTGCTTGGTGTCCGTTTGCTTTCCTTCAACCATCTAAAATGTCCTCCCCTCTTTCAAGACACGGCCGGTGCTTGATGAAGGGAGGTGAAGGTTGGAGTGTGGGCGTACTTGCAGGGTGTGGATTGCACACTGTGATTGACGGCTTCCCCGGAACGCGCAGCACCAACTTAGTTGCATGCTCCCCAAGCCTTCGCGAGCCTCGCGAGCCTTGCGAGCTTAGAGTGCACAGATTTCGACAGGAGCTGCTGGTCGACGACCGCATATCCTTGGAGAGCATCGCATTTGCAGCGCCCATGGTTTTCTATTTAGCGGACGGCATCGGAAACCCCAAAGCACAACTTTGGCAAAAGTGCCTTGGAACAACGGCCACATGGTGAGGTCCAGTGGAGTCAATTGTGTAGAGGCGTTGGCTCATGTTGGAGGGCTTTTGTGCTGCAATAGGTTCCTGATCATCTCTTGTACCGCCATTGATCACCAGCTTGTTTGATGCCCTGGAGTAGATTGATTTTTTCTTCTGTTGCAATGATAAGCCCAGCCTCCATGCCTTCTGAATTAAGGGGCCTGCTGCCTGCCAGATGGAGGATTGTCTACCGTGTTCCAGTTGGGTTCTGTGTTTGTGTATCGGATCCCGCCCATTCCATGTTTTTTCTCCCAGAATGGACCTGGCAATTCGCTTTGGACCCAAAGGGTCTTGGCATCGGAGAGGTTCGCAGCGACCAGCCAGAACTTCGTCTTCGACCGGGACGTGGTACCGCGTCTGCCCGGCAGCCCGGGCTTCTATCGGGACGCCCTGCGCACCGCCATCACCACGGCCACCAGCTACGGTGCGGAGAGGACAGCTCCAAAATGGTAGCCCTTCATGGGTTTGGAGTTTGGGGATGTGAACCCCCAGAGGGTGAATGGCAACCCTGGCAACCCCGCACACCGCCAATCCAAACCACTTGGAAGGAAGCTGAGATTTTGTGGATTTCCTTTCGGAATTTGTATTCCTGTTTGACATCTACTCTCATATACTCTCACTATTTCCTCCTCCCGTTCTACCAGTGAACTTCCCTACTTGAACTGCAAGTGTGGCAAAGCCTCTTGGGCATGAGTCGGTGCTTCATGCTTGTTGAGCCAGCTCTCAGGAGCTTCTTGTGACCGAGCATGCCGTTTCAGTTTTGTCAGGATCCGACTGAAGTCAGACGGCATGCTGGTGCAGTCTGTCTTAAACCTCCTCGAGAAGACGCTGGAGGCCTTCTCTTCAGACGACGGACTGCAGCAAACCTACGAGCAGTTGAAGAACTACACCCACCTATCCCAGGCACGAGCCCCACAGTTTCCCAGGTCCAAGGCATGGCCAACGTGAATATCTGATTGCATCGGGTGTATCATTCCAGAGAGTTGATCCATGTACATAACCGTTGCATCTCGGATTGGCAAGATACTGTTCCGCACTGGGCAATATGTCAATATGTGGCTGGTCTATGGTTCCGAGTTTTGCCGAGACCGGCGTCCGTTCAACATGTGCGTGCTTCACTGATTCACGTAAGCGCAAAGTGCCATGGTCGCTGCCTCGGTGCTCACAGGCACTTTGCTTTTTTTCCAACCCTTCGGTGCTTCCGACCCCTTGGCGTGAACACCCTATGATCGACATGTGAGGTTCGTTCAACAGTACGCAAGCCTATGCTTAATTTGGAAAGGACATGGGGGACTCACCAAACTTTCCACAAGTCCAGGGGACTCACTACTGTTCACATGTCGTGTGGAGACAAGTAGTTACTAAGCAGTTTTGATCATTCACGAGCTGAAAGGGTCAGGTTGCCCGCCTCTCTCAGGTGCAGTTCTACGCCTGCGACGAGGCTCTGGAGATCAGCCGGAGCATGTGGGAAGGGTCCCGCTGGACCCCCAGTTCCAAGGTGAACTTCCTCTACCTCTTGGCCTGCCACAAGTTCTTCCCCTCCAGGCTGGTGTACGCGCCATGAGCTGAGGAAGCGAACTGCCACGCGTGACGTCGGAGGACGCGCCAGGAGAAGTTTAAGGACTCGGAGTTGACGGGAGGGTACAGGAAGAAGTTGGCCAAAGGGTGCACGCGGCTGCGACAGATGATACTCTATGATGAGCAGTGAACAGAGAGCACAGGACCCAGTGGCAGCTGACGCCGAGAGGATCTGATAACTTTTCGCCGTTTTCAGCACGCTGAGCTGGTGAACATGGCTGTGGACGTTGGGGGACGATTCGCTGGAAAAGAAGTGACCGAGTCCCTGTGCCCGGCGATCTATTGTTTGTGGATCCCCCAGAATGAAACAGAACCCGGCTTCCCAACCTCGGTCGCAACCTGCCAGTGGCAAACACCAGGCCCAAATGCCCCAAGCTCCTGGCTGTGTCTCAAACATCAACCCCTTTTCAAGGACCAACCACCTCAAGGGCCCTTTTGAGAACCCCGCCCTCCCCGTCCCAACTTCGGATCTTCACTTGCCAGGAGATGTGCCGGGATGCGCCGCTCGAGGCGGAGGCTGATTCCACTCGGGGGGTTTCCCTTTAAATTCAAACAAATAGTGCCCGAAAGTTCCCGGTGGCCACTGGAGTTATCCGGCAGGTGTCACGGTCCTGGTTTTGGACAGGTAGATACAACTGGAATGGTCCTCAGTCCGGGCGAGCAAACAGCAAGGCTCCCGCATCCCGTGGGCATTGTAAAATCCACACAACAATGCTGCTTGACACTACATTGGATGAAATGCCACGGAAAGAAAGGGGCGGTCATGAAGAGTTGAAGTCGCCAATTTGAAAACGGACTTTCAGTCTGAAAGGCTCCCGCCAGGAGAAGATGCGGTTCCGGGCGGAAGTTCTCATGGAGCTGCGGCGGATAGTGCTGCAGTGGATCCAGGAGGCCCTGCGATTTCCAGGGAAATTCAGAAGACTTTCAAGAGCCAAAGGGACTTGGGGTTGTGTTGCTCTTTGAAGGAGCCCACACAATAGGTGCTCTCCCTTGAACTTCCTTTCGAACCCCCCCTGAACATAAACTTTAAAGCATTCTACTTGTCCTTTTGCAGGCATCGCCACAAACGGACAAGGCAAGCATGGCTTGTTGCTTGTTTGGCACCCTGGGAAAAGCTTGAGCGAAGAGAACACGGGGAATTGTGGATATTGCTGAACAGTGGGGCAAGAGGCCCGAAATGTTCAAACCCTGCCAGTGGTTTCTGAAATCCAATGCTCATTGATCTCCTCGCGATCAGCTCACAACTTTTGCGCTTTGTGGTTTTTATTTTCTTGGCGAGTCCCTGGCGCTTTCGAGACAACGTGCCGATACGGGAAGAACGCTATTTTGGCGCCTAGTGTGCTTCTCCTTGCTACCTGCGCTGCTTCTGACAATTTTCGCTGTGCTTGTGCAAAGCTTGTGGATTGATGCCGTCAAAGGGAGGCCACCTGCAGTCAGCTTGACGATGTTTTCTCGAAAGCCCAGTGAAGGATCTCCTTCCAAATTTGAGTATCATGACACGTGCACACACCAAAGTACCATGGCACAACGCTTCCTTGGCATTGACTCTGTTTGCCTCAATTTCTGCTTTCGCTTAAGGCCGCGGTAGGGACGGGCAGGCGTATCTCAATGAATTTCTGTCGGATTGAAGCGCTGAACGCATGCGTTGTGCCTCGAAGCACCTTTTTGCTGTGCAAAAGTACGAATGTAGTACACACTCAGCTCAAGCATGGAACGCCCAACTGATGCGAGAGAAGCATCGTCCAAACTCGGCACGGAGACGGCGCACGAGCCGCAGTTCCACACGTCTAGCTCCAAATGACAAACCGCGCTTCCGGGTCTCTGGCTCTTAGAGACGCTTCTTGGCGATGCTTTAGCTCAGGATTCGTCGCATTGGCTTTCTCATGCAAGGCCTGCGTGGCGCAGGGCGACGTGGACTTGGCCTCCAGAGCGGGTGCCAAGATTTTCACCTTCGGCTCCTACAGGCGAGAAGGGAGAGGTGAGCTCGCCGCGAAGCTCATGCCGTTTAGATCTCCAAGGGCCCAGATTTCGTGTTGGTTTTTGCATTTGATGATTGGAGGTTCCCAGGAATGGCAAATTGTTGAAGGATCATCTCGGGGTCCTTCTGGGTTGATTAAAAAAGGGCCATTGGACATTGGGGATGCCCTACTTACTTGGCTGACTCGCTGACAGGTTGGGCCTCATAGGCCCTGGCTCCGACATCGATGTGCTGTGCGTGGCGCCGGGGGCGCAGAATCCATCAAACCGCCGCCTACGATTTGCAGAGGACCCTCCAGCTGCTGTCTACCTATGTGGGCTGAGTTGAAGAGAAAGCGCGGGTTTCCAACAGGGCAATCTTGGGTGTCCAGTTGACGAAGCTTGGGGCATTGATCTGGCTGTCATCCCATCCTTTCACGCCTTTTGACGCCTTCAGGCCAAAGAACATCTCCAGAGATTCCTTCTTTCAGGCAGGTGCCAGCCTGAACCTGTCTTCCGGAATTCCCCACCCCTAAAATATGAATGGCCCCCTGAGGTTCCCAAGAGGGTACCGCTGGAAACTCACCCGCCCGCAAAGGGGCCATTTGCGGCAGGTGCTGGTGCCAAAGCTGCAGGCGCGCTTTCGCGTGTCGAGCGGCTCTCTGTCAAAGGCGTGCCAGTGGCTCAATGGTAAGGATGCTTGTTTGTTCCGGCGTTGTTGGGATACAGCATCTTCTTGACCGGCAGGGGCAAGCAAACAAGCTGCCCCCAGAAGGGGCATGAACAAAGGCATGAACACGAAAAGAGAGTCTTCTGCCTTTTGCACCCAGAGGTGCATTCGGAGGGGACTCAAATTGTGCGCCAGGAGCACCCAGATGTTGCCGACGTGACGCCAGTACCAGATGCTTACACGCCCATCATCAAGGCAAGCTCGAGTCATGGCTTGGGAAAGGGTCCTGACTTTTCAATAAATCCTTTGCGTTGCTCCGTGTTCCTTCCGCCACGCGGGGGTTTGCCATGCTGTTCGGTTAGAGACATTCAGGTCCAGCTATCACGCTGAGGCGAAGCCGCCTGGTGGTTGCCTAGCCTTCGGGGAACAACAACTGTCAATGGAGCAATTCTTGAGCCAGTCGATGGGCCGATGGGCTGATTGGCCAAGAAGGTGGAGAACACCCAGTTGCAATGAGATTTCTTGAACCGCTTCAGCTGGTTCAGATGAAGCTCTCTGGCATCGAGATTGACCTTCTCTTTGCCCGCTTGTCGTCCATGACGGAGGCTGGCCAAGATTCACTTGACGGCACGCAGAAGCAGATGTGAAGCAAAAGGTGTGCATTGTTGTGACCCGGGAATTCTTCTCCTGAGACACGGTTGTGTGCCCTTTGAAGGGTTGCCAGAATAATATCATGGTGCCTAACCCGAAAACACCTTGAGGGATGGTTTGCCTCCGACAGATTCCAGAAGATTTGGAGTCGCTGAATGATGACAACCTGCTCAAGAACCTCGATGACAAGACGGCCCGGTGCACAAGCCTGGGGGATGTTCAAGGATTCAAGCATATTCAAGCGTTCCCCCGGGGATACGACGAAAGGGTTGCGCGCTCAAAGATGCCAAGGCCACCGGACCCGCTCGCGCCTCTCAGGTTCGGAGCCTGAACGGCTGCCGGGTCGCAGATCACATCTTATCCCTGGTGCCCAACGCAGAAAGGCAGGGTGCAGCTTGGAGAAAGATTGCCCGGCTCCACTGGCTCATTGCGATTCGTCAGGTTTCGAGACACCCTGCGATTCATCAAGCTTTGGGCGAAGCGGAGAGGCATCTACTCCAATGTGCAGGGCAGCCTAGGCTTCGAGGCGTCCTCCACAAAGTTTGAATAGGGGGTGCTGAGTGCGGCTAGGTGTTCCTCTTCCCTTTCTTGACACGGGAATTGATGATCAACCTTGTCTAAGTTTGAAGAGGAACTTAACACAACTGCAACGACAAAGAAATTATTGCTTGCCTGGTAGCCCGGGGACGCAGCATACAAAGCATAATGGCTGTTTTCCTTTTGGTTTCCCTTTACACCAACCCCAAAAAGGGTTTGGAGCATCACTTGGAGGTGATGTTTTTGCGTTTCTCGGAGGCGCAGACGGAGCCTTCCGAGGTTGGGCTTCTTTGGCGGAATCTCCTGGGCCATCCTCGTGGCGCGGGTCTGCCAGCCAGGGCCGAAGCGAGTGTCAGCTCGCGAGCTTCATTTGGGCGTGTCGTTTTGTTGGAGGGTACCCTTTCTTGGGCTTATATGGCTTATCTTAAAGGACAACCAAAGGGACATCCTCCGTTTTTCTCAAAAACCCCTCTGGGGTTGGGTTCTCGTTTAGTTGTCCAACCGCGATCGACAGGGGTTCGGCCTGAAGTGTACCATGTTTGCAGCATGCCGTGTAAACGCCACTGGCCGGGAAATGGCCGAACAGGCGGCCTGCCGGCTGAATTGCCGGCAAGAACGGGACCCGTCTCAAGTGTGCCGAGTTTACCGCATACCGCAGGGCCGAGATTGCAGCATACCGCGCAAGCGCCGCCAAGAACGTGACCGGTCTCAAGTGTGCCGAGTTTACCATGTTCGGGCTTCAAGTGTACCGAGTTTGCAGCATACCGTGCAGCTGGCGGGGGAATGGCCGAACGAGCGGCTTGCCGGCTGAATTGCCGGGACGACCTTGACTGTCTGTGAGTGTGCCGGTTGAATTGCAACCAGCACCGAGGTAACGGGAGGTGCTGGAGGCCGCCTGCGGCTTGCCGCCTGAATTGCCGGGACGACCTTGACTGTCGGTGACTGTGCCGGCTGAATTGCAGCAAGAATGAGCTGGGGTCATCCGTGTGCCAGTGCGGATGCAACCGGCGCCGAGGTGACGGGAGGCTGGAGGCCGCGTGCCGGTGGGATTTGGTCCACAGAGGCGCAGCGATAACAAGGCTGGAGGCCGCGTGCCGGTGGGATTTGGCCCACAACAAGGTGCGGTCGTCCGTGCGCCGGTGGGATTCCAGGAAAGCAGCAAGAATGAGCTGGGTCATGCCGGTGGGCTTTGGCTTGGCGGAGGCGGCAAGGAGGTGACGGCGACGTGTGCCGGTGGGATTTGCGTCTGAGGTGACGGGAGGTGCTGAAGGCCGCGTGCCGGTGGGATTTGGCTCACAGAGGCGCAGCGATAACAAGGCACGGTTGTCCGAGTGCCGGTGGGATTTGGTTCCAGGAAAGCAGCGAGAACGAGCTGGGGTCATCCGTGTGCCGGTGGGATTTGGCTTGGCGGAGGCGGCAAGGATCAGACCATCGAGGTGGATGAGGCACTGTTTGAGGAACTCCTGGCGTCATCAAAGAGTTGGTCACCTTTGCGCAGGCTGGGATACTTTTCAGCAACCCGCTGGGGCTGCAGTCGCTTGGTTATGAGACAGCTGCAATGATTTCGGGCCTTTGTTTTCACCCGTGTGAATTTCATCCAACGCTGGCAAGATCCGGCAAGCCTGTTCGCGCTGCGCGCGCCTTTAAATGTGCTCAACATCACATGGACAGGCGCGCGCGCGCCGCGCTCGCGCGCTGCGCAAGCAGGCCGCCGTCCCCCTCTGAACCATCTTATAGCCCAACAACGGCAAGAAGCTCCGAGAAAACGTGACAAACCATGGCTTGTTGCAACGATGTAGTTTCGACTGCCGCGTCCTGGATTCGCATTTCTCTTGGGCACTGATGCTGGCACGCGCGAGACACATTGGAAGAATGACTGAAAAGAACGACTTTTTTTTTTTGTCTGTTGTCGTTTTTCCTTTCTTTTCTCGTCGGGCCCCTTGGACGCTTGCCGCGGGTTGCTTGGCGTGCGTGTGGGTTTCCTTTTTCGGTGTTTTTTCCTTGTTTTGTCTTTTCCTTTCTTACTGAACTCATGAAGAGATGAAATGAAGTAGCCAGCTGGCGCATTGATACTCCCTCTCATTGTGCCATCAGTGGACCATCGGCCGCCAACCGATGGTCGCGCGTGCTCCAAACCTCCGCGTGGTGCGCCCTGGAAACTCACCCCACATGCGAGGTAATCATCGGATCCGGGTCACAAGGGGAGGACATGCAGACAATTAGCAACAGAGATGAGGATGGAATCGAACCAAGGAACATCGAACGCGGAAAAGTCACAAACATCAGGAAAAGACTGACACAATCAGGAAATACATAGGGTGAGGCAAACGTCCCTCCTCTTAATAGAGGTGGTTGGTGTAGACCGACCGACGAGGAGCAACGGGGTAGATACCGGTTGAACCTGGACTTGGGAAGATGGCCTCTTGGGGACTCGACGGCCGTACCACTTCCTCTCCGGGCTTCAGCCCTACTCCGGGTAGAGGCGGGTGGGCTCCGACTCTCCGAACTAATTGAGGAGAATGCCGATGGCAGGAATTGAGCAGACATAGCCGAATCAACTCACGTGATAGACAACAATGAACTCCGCCCCATAGAACACCATCATGCGCACCTCGGCTGCCGTGTAGAAGCTCAAGCACAAATGGCAGGCCGAGCCGGTAGAAAACGCCGCCGAAAAGCGGCCACATACTGGGCCACCCTCGCAGCACAACTACTGACGGGTAGCACACATGGGCAAAGCAGAAACGCGGTACTCCGGAAAGCCGACAAATTACGCAAACATAGACGAGTACAATGGGGAAAGTTCTTAAAGCGGCAAAGACAGACAAGACGAACTCACCATGACATACGGATCGGCACATGGAACACTCGCCGACTGGGCGCTGTGCACGGGCGGGTGGACGTCGCGACCAAACTTCGGCACATGGCAGAGGTCTGGCAGTTGCGAAAATGGGACGCAGCGCTACTACAAGATGTAACGCTGGGTGAAAGGGGACGAATGACGTTTAGCACAAAGAAGGAAACATGGACGATCATACACAGGGGAAAAGTGGCAATAGCACTGGGAACAAAGCTCACAATGGCATGGGAACGCGGAGGCTGCGTAGTTCATACAGACGGAATGGAAGGGACGTGTCGAGTAATCAGTGTACAAATCCCGTGCACCAACAAACGGGGGGTATCACTGATATCAGTCTATGTACCGAGTAGCGAGGCAAACCGGGAAACCGTAGCGGCAGTCTATGACAAACTCGGGAGGGTCCGGGAACGCAGGCCAGGAGGTTTCCACACTCTCATTGGCGGAGATTTCAACGGGGAGGTCGGAAGCCGCACAAATGGAGAGGAACAGGCGTTGGGACCACACGGACACGGCAGATGCAATGAAAAAGGACGCATGATGTTGGACAGCTGTCAGGCAGAAAACCTGGTGGTGACAAACACATGGACAAGCCAGAAGAACAAGACTACGTGGAGGCACCCACGATGGAAAAGCGGACACCTGATCGATTACATTCTGGTGGAAAGACCGCAACTCAACAACGTGAAGAGGGTGCTCACACTGCACGAAGAAGTAGCCTGGACCGGCGGGTTGACCGGATGGGGGGAATATACTGACCACAATCCCGTCGAGATCAGCTTCAAAATTGCGCCGCCACAGGGGATGACTGCCCCCGCGCAACGCGCAAAGCGCTGGGCATGGGTAGCCGGAAGAGGTGATGAACCAGCCGCCAAAAGACTACGCTCGCAGTACGCAGAAGAAATCAGAGCGCAGCTCACAGACAGGACCAGCCCCATGCACTGGGACGACATCATAAACGTCACCACAGCGGCCGCCCGAAAGGTGTTCGGCCCGGTCGAGCCCAAACCCCCACGGCCATGGCTAGACGGTAAAGAGGCGGAACTACGCCGGCTCAGTTTCGCGGTGGCCGCGGCCAAAGCGGCCAGAGACAAAGCTGAGGAATGGGCCTACAGGCAGGAGGAAGATGAGGAAGCCGCGGACTTTTGCGCGCAGGCCTGGAGACTGGTTCAGGCGGCCACGCGACGCAAACGACGCCAACTAAGAGAGTGGGAGGACACATGGTGGAATCAGTTGAGCAATCAGGCCGAGACTGCAGCGGCTAGAAACGACAGCCGGGCACTTTACGACCTGATTAGACAATTGCGGGGGAGGGCGGTGACTCGAGGCCAGCACGGCGGCGCACCGCAGCCGGACAACCCGGTTGTGGAAGCCCAGGCGTGGAAGGAGCACTTTCGCCGCATACAGGACGGCACACAACCGGTACACGACCGTATCTGGGCCAACGTCGTCGAGCGAGCGGACCGAGCCACATGGATGGACGAAAAGCCGAACCAAGCGGAAATCCAAAAAGCCATAAAAACAATGAAGCTCGGCAAGGCCCCGGGCATTGATGGCGTTACGGTGGAGGCACTACGATGGGCGCCAGATGCAATGCACCATCAGCTATGTACTATCATACAAACAATGTGGATGGACGCGACCAGCACGCAACTCGGACAAGAGGCTCACGACTGGCCAGAGGCATGGAAGACGGCCATTATCGTGCCACTATGGAAACAGAAGCAACCTCGATCAGACAAGAACAACTGGAGGGGAGTTACGCTCCTCAGCGTGGGGGCAAAAGTGGTGGCGCGCATCGTCGCCAACCGGCTTCAGACACACACGGAAGAGTTCATGGACGAGCGTCAACAAGGATTTCGGCGCAATCGCGGCGTTGATGACGTTCTGCAAGTTTCCAGGCGCATCACTGAGGAGGTGGTGTCATCTGGCCCGACCGAGCCGGTAATCGTAACACTCTACGATATAGAAAAGGCATACCCCCGAGTGAACCGACTGGCACTCTGGACATTGCTCGACAAATGGGGAGCTGGAACAGGCTTTATCCGCGTGTGTCAGGCCCTACACGACTACACGTCGTTTCGCGTGCAGAGCGGCGCTGTCCTATCAGATGGGTATACTGCGGGACGGGGATTAAAGGAGGGCTGCCCGAGCAGCCCTCCTCTTTTCAACGTGTATCACGCGGCAGTGATGGCGGATTACAGGACCCGTCGCAGCAGAGCCGCCGAGGAAACAGGCGCGCAGCCTGGGATACAGTGGAAGACCAAGATCACAGGACAATTTACCAAGCGACAGGCTTGTCTAAACAGCAACCGTCAGATCCGACAGGATATCTTGGGCGACATCCAGTTTGCAGATGACACTGCGACGTTCGCCCAGGAAAGCGAGGCGGTCGCGGCGGACAGCATGCTGGAAACGACCTTCACGGACTGGGGCGAAAAGCTGAACCGCAACAAAACGGAAACCTTGCGCATCGTCCCAGCCGCACGCCCAGAAAAACGAGGACGCGATGCGGACTTGCCCGACACAGTCCGGCACGTAGGAGGCTACCTGTCAGCCACTGCTACGCAATGGAAGGATACCATTCATCGGGGTAGCATGGCCATGCAACGGGCCAGAGCAGTCGCCAAGGCGTGGAGCCTCGGAAGCTCCAAGGGCAGGGGCGCTACCAGCGGGATACGGTTCGCAACCAGACTCAAGGTGATGCACAGCATCATTGTGCCGACCCTCACTGCTTTTGGCAGGTCTCGGGCCTGGACCCGGGCCCAAGTTGAGCACTTGCAAACCAGACAAAATTACGCGATCCAAAGGGCGTTGGGACTGGACCGTATGGCCATGCATGAGTATCATGTGCGGAATCAGGACCTACACGCCATGGCGCAATGGGAACCCATCGAGAAGGTGTTGGCCAGACAAACCTTGCGATGGATGGGCCATGTAGCACGAATGCCGACGCACAGACTACCTAAGATCGCCATGTGGGGGCATTGGCAGGACGCAGAGCTGGGTCAGTTCGGACCCACGCGACAGCAGAAGTGGTTACAGACGGTGCTGAAACTGGCTGACATACCGGAGCTCGACTGGTTCCGACTGGCACAGGAGAGACCGACGTGGGACGCGCACATCAAGCGCGGACTTCCGCGGCCAGTTCTAAAGCCACATCAAAAGAGAGCCATCAACGCTTGGCGACCTGCCCCCCCTACCGACGCCGCCGAGACCCAGGTTGCGCAGAACGGTGTGGACAAAGCGATCCAGTCAACTGGCGCGAGGGGAATGCCCAGTGTGTAATCACCAAGCGGTCGACGTCCGTCACCTTCGGAGCCATTATGACAGTCAACACGCAGTGTTCGACCCCACAAAGACCACCATGCAAGAACACGTCTGCAAAGAGTGCAAGGGCCGCTTCCCGAACGCCTACGCCAAGACGCGACATCAGTGCAGGGGACCCGCAATGGTTCAAGACCGGCTACAGCACATCGCGCCAGACATCCCTGAACCGCCGCCTACTTGGCACGTGTTCACGGACGGCTCCGGAGGCGCAGCTGACAGCGAAGGCGCCGGATGGGGAGTAGCCGTGTACGCGTTGCCCGACGGAGTGTGCGCGATTGCTGAACTGCATGGACCAGTACTGACTGACGCTACGGACCAGCGCTATCTGGGGGCGGACAAGGCGACCAATAACACGGCTGAACTCACGGCTATAGCCGAGGCGCTCGTCTGGATCGACACGGAGGCGCCGGGACCGGGAGATACGGCCTTGCATATCTACTACGACTCCCAGTATGCAGCGGACCTAGCGACAGGGCGTACCGAGCCGCGAACCAATCAAGCGCTAGCCAAATCCGTCCAGCAACTGGTCAAGAAGGTGTCAAACACGAGGGACATCCGGTGGACTTGGGTAAAGGGACATGCAGCGCACCCAGGCAACGAAAACGCAGACCGACTTGCAGGTCAGGGGGCGCGGGGCCAGGTGGGATGCCAGAGTAAGAGATGGACCGAGCCGCACAGCGGCGAATTGACCAAGGAAACAGCGGAAGTCTGCCGACAGTGTGGCAAAGTGTTCCGCCACGCAGATGTGTGTGCGGGACATGAACGAGAGTGCAGTCAGGTGCCTTTGAAAGAGCTGCCGCCGCACAAGTGTCGCAAATGCAACACCGAAGTGGGCACACGAGTCAACCGTCTATACCACGAGGCTCGCTGTAGAGGCGATGCGGAGCTTAACCTGCGATGCACGTTCTGCGATGCGCTCTGTCCGACCATGGCCAAACGGACGCGCCACGAAGGCGCGTGCCTCCAACGCGCCCCTACACGAGACGGCGCTGGCCTATACTGGCAGTGCGAGTGCGGGTGGCAGCAAGTGCAACAGGGGCAAACCAAGAAACGACTCGACCAGGCGGTCGAGCGACACAAACGCGGATGCCGAGGAAGTGAAGAACAGAACCTCACATGCCGGAAATGCAACAAAAAGTGGCCGTCTATCACACAACGACAGTCTCACGAAAGCCAATGCAGAGGACCTGGCGATGCGCAGCGAACGTGCTTGTGCTGCAACATCGTGTTTGCAAACGCGCACGATCGAAGCAAACACGAGAGCCGCATGAAGCGACAGAATGCGTAACTCGAACAGAAAAAAGCAGGGAAAGGCAGTCGTGAAGGCTGAGCCGTTTTCTGCAATTACTGCCCACTGGGAAAGGTGATCGCTCAATAGGTCTTCCACGATCACGACCAACCCTTGGTTTGCTGGGTCCTGTGTTATCACAGGCGTAGGGCGGCGTCCTCAGGCGCACGGCGGCTCTCCGCTCAGCCCAGGTGTAAGGTAATAGGGCGGCAACAAAGGGAACTCTTGATAGCGTCCTCTGGCGCACCGCGGCTCTCCGCGAAACAAGAGACTCACAACAACAACAACTCCACTGACACACCATACACTGACGGCGTCCTTTGGCGCAAGGCGGTACGGTGTTTCCGACCGACCTAGCGCCCTCTGGCACAAAACAGCCTCTGGCGCAGTGCGGCTCTCCGCAAACAGTTCAGCCACCCCCCGGCGTACCAGGCCGCGGTTAATGTTTCGGATTTGAATTTCTGCCCCGGACCACTCCCCTACCCATTCCCCTAAAAGCCCATTTTCGGAGGACTGTGATATCACTTGAAACGGACGACCGATCCCGCAACTTTTGGCTCCTAGCTACAAAACCACCAGAGCAAGAGCGCTGCCCAGACTTACGTCACAGAAATATGGCTGCAGAGGCACAGATGCTGCGCAGGGACACGGACTTCCTGTTGCAACCCTACCGCCTCATTGTCCTGAACCTCCCGGAACTCAGTACTCGCTACAGCGAGCTTCAGGCTAGCCGCCAGCTCCATGATCTGCCGACAGAGGTGCCGGATATCCTACTCCGGGCCCTCGTCGCTCAGTTCGGAGCTACCCTGACCCGCCCGGCACCATTGGGGACACATGCCACCACAGTGCGCGACGGGGTGGCGGGCCATCTGACGGCCAGCTTGGGGCAGGAGGCGGCGCAGGAGCTGGCAGGATGGCTGGTATCCGAGCCGGCACCCTTGGTCACACTGGCTCGCCACTTGACGCGCGAGACCATCATCGGGGTATACCCGACGGGCCCCAACGCCTTTCTGGTTCGCCTACGCACTGGCATGGCGGGGTTGGCGGTCTCCCACGTGGTGACCCAGTACTTGCGCACCGCCGAGGGCACGCCGGCTGACGCGCTCCGGATCTTCCTAGACCGGAGGATCCGGGGAGCCGGAGGAGAAGACAAGGGAAAAGGCAAAGGCAAGCAGAAAGGCAAAGCCAAAGGCAAGAACGCGCCAGAAAAGGGCAAGGGGAAGGGGCGCAAAGGCCATGCCAAGGGAAAGGGGAAGGATGGGAAGGACAAGCAGGGCCCCCGCCCCGATCGCGAGCGATCCCGGGGGCGGGAACGACGAGGACGCCGCGACGCACCCCCTGACGCCATTGAGCCCGATGCCGACATGAACGAGGCTGATGGGGTCCGGGCAGCGCTGGACGCGGCACGGGCGGCGGCCGGGGAGGCGGCCGGCGCCCGCCCGTGAGAAGGCGGCCACACATGTTTCACCTTGGGTTTGGCAGGGGAGGCTCGAGCTTCACATGGGCACAAGCAACCCGCCACCTCAGCAATAGCCTGCGTTTCCATCTCATCCTTGCTGGCACCCTCTTGTAATGGTTCCAAGGTGTTACCGCCGCAGCACGAGCCCTGACAAACCATCTTTTAATTTTTTTGGCAGATCCAAGCACACCCTGACCCGCCGCCATCCCCTAGATATTTAGACCGTTCATTAGTTCTCTCGCGCTTGACACCCTGCCTACCCACAGTTTTGGTTTCACCGAGATGTACTGTGCCGGCCCTAGCTCTACCTGCATGCGCACTGATGGCGTTAGCCAGGCGCCTTAATGGTGCTGAAGGCTCAACGAACGAACGAACGCATTTCTCTTCCTCTGGTCCGATGCTTGCAGCTCAGTGCAAGGCTGCCACCTAAGAGCTTGTGCTGCTTGCAAAGACCCAATTGTCCGTGGAGCCCTCAAGGGGCCATAGCAAAAAGGCATACTCCACGCAGCAGCAATAGCAGCATTGTCGGTCTGCCTGTGTCGCCCACGAGCTCCTGCCTGCAAACTGCTTGGGCAAGCAGTTCGCTGAGCGTCTAGGTTTTTGGGTTCCCCGGCTCTCCTTGCTTTTTGGGGGGTTCCCTAGTTTAATACACGCATATTTCTTTCAGGACCGGGGAACGTTTCGCCGTCGGGTTTGATGGAAGCGGATCTGAAGAGGGGGTTTCAACTGTTTTTGTCTCAAGCACAGGAAAAACCGAACGACAGACGAGGCTGTACCCCCACAGCAACGCTGCCGCGCTGGTGAAGCGCTTCTTCCGCCTCTACGAGCGGCCGCTTGGTCTTGGATCCATCGACTAGTCTCAACCCCAACGCTTGACCCCCTTTTTGGTTGGTATTTGAGGGAAAGCCAAAAGTAAACCAACCATTTTGGGGACCACTATTTTGAAACACCCCTATGCCTGTTTGCTCATGTTCGATTCTTCCACTTGCATGGTCTGCCGAGACCCACATTGAACTGACGAGCTGGCTTGAGTGTATTAGTTGGTCGGCCGGCATTTGCTTGTTGTGGTGTTACATTTGCCAGCCATCATGGGCAACCATTTGGGTGTGCCTTGACCTAGCACCCCCCCAAAAAAAACAAGATGAGTTGTCCCTTTGCTTTCTCCTTAAAACCACAAGACAGGTGTACCCTCAGAAGTAGGACATCCCTATTTGATGTTCGGCATGCATTGGAATAGTGGTTGCTAGCTGCAACATGCTGCAACATGCCAGTGCAGCACAGGTGGGACTGGAAGAATCCAGTGGTGCTGACACACATCCAGGAGAAGCAGCATACCCAGAGCCAATCAAGAGTTGATCGACTGTGCACTTGCACGTGCGACGCGGGTTTGAAAAAATGTCTGGTTGGATGATTATACAAAACATGGATTCGAGTTTGCCGCTTGACCACATCCTTTTCTCTGCAGAAGAAGCCAACACCAGGCCGTCATCCCTGCCGTTTGGGTAATGTGGCGCTTGCCTGAGCCGACTGTGCCCCTCTTGGAACCACACTGTCAGGCCCAACACTCCGGGGCTGATGATGTTCAAGATTTGGAACCCGAAGGCGCGTTCGTGTCCTTCACAGATGCGCTTTGGCGGCGCAGCAAGGTTTGGTGCATTGCTTGTGGGTGTGTATTATAATAGGAAGCCCCTCAAGCTGGTGCTTGTCTTGGGTTTCCCTTCAACACGACCACAGATGCCAGGTATCCTCACAAAAAGGCATGTAGCAAGGTCACATCCCTGACAGGTGTACCCGCAGGATCGCCTGCACATCATGCCCATCATCACCCCCGCCTTCCCGCACCGCTGCCAGGGTTTCATTCGGGAGGGGCCCCCTGGCCTTGCAGCATGTCGGTGACTGCATCCAGGTGCAGTCAGGTGCGACTCCACAAAGCTGCAATGCGGTTGGTAGCTCTCGCAGACCACAAAGATGTATTTGCTGGGAGACGTTTGGTGCTGTGAGACACGCCTCCTTGAAGAGGCATTGATACAAGCTGCCAAGAGAAGCCACTGCCAGGTGCATGAATTCCACCCACAACGTCTCTGAGACGTCCTGCCTGCATGTTTGGAGAGAGGACACGATACTATTTGATTTGATCTAAAGAACGAGAAAGGCATCTAAGGCTGGTTCGTTTGTGGGCGAGTATGTTTACGGCGTGGTGTGAGACCGACAGACGGTGCGCTACAATTGAAGTGTCTGCTTTACGGCACTTGGGTTTCTCCGATTGAGCCACGGATCCCAGTGAGGACAAAACGCATCCTTCTCACCGAGATCTCTCGTGCGTACAAGGTCGTAGAGCAGGCCGGCAATGTCATCGCCCCTGCCTTGCAGTTCTGTCCTCCTTGTCCGAGGTTTTTGTTGATGGTACTGCCGTTTGTCCCACAGCCGTTCTGGCATCCCACGCGGTAGCATTGAGATTGCATTTGGGGATGTATCATGAGAATTTGTTCCCTTCCACTTTCGAGGAAATCCTGCAGTGCTGTTTGTCTCCCCAGAACAACGAGACAACACGTTATATGATTGTCGAGCTGGAAGATTCGATTCAAGGAGCATCGGGCCCTGAAACCCTCAATTTTGTGGGATGGCTGGCCGGACAACCAGCTCAAGGACCCTGCAAAAAACATATCAAGCAACCATTGCCATCAGGTGTCCAATACGAGGGCAGTTGCCCTGCCAGGTAGAAAGGGGCAAGTGCAAGTGGAGCGAAGTCTACAGGCCGGAGCTGGTTGCTCACAAACGCGTGAGGTCTCCTGCCATATTGAAAAGGGTTTGTTCTTTGTGCACGCGCATGGCTCAGCTGCCTGAAGGAAGTCAATTGCCAGGATCCGGTTTCATGGTGAGTGACACTTGCTCTGCTCGTCACTTTCCATCATGTTGCTTGGTTTCGCCGAGGGAGCTTTGCCAAACCAACCTCATGCCCTAAAAATGAGGCCGTTGCCCTTCTTCAACCAGCACAAGTTCTACATCCAGATCGAAGCTTTGGCATCTACACCCCAGGAGTGGGCAGGGAAGGGATATCTTCGAGGGAGGTGTGGGCAAAGGCAAGCATCCCTTAGCCATCCGATGTTGACAGGCCAACAGCCAGGAGCAGCCAGGCACAAGAGTGGTTAGGTTTACTCAGAAGAAGAGGGCAGAAGCGTGTGAAGGCAAGCCAAAGGCTTGTTAGTTGAACTGGTTTCCTGTTGCTGAGAACCTGGCTCAAGGAGCAAAAAAGCGCTCCAGGAACGAACTTGCCATTGGCAGCGGCAAAGCCGAAGGCCATGGGAACAAAAGCAGACCAGGCAGATGCAATCACGCAACTCTTCATGCTCGCAGACAAAGACGGCAACGGTACTATCTCGAAAGAGGAGATGACCGCAGTGCTGACGCAGCTTGGCTCTTTCTCCGACGAGAGCTTGGACAAGATGTTCGCCGCGTTCGACAAGAACGGCGACGGAGTCCTTCAACTTGGGGAATTCACGAGTTGGCTCTTTGCTGAGGGTCCGTACGCACCTAGCATCGACGGCTCAGTAAACAAAAACGAGAAGCAGTCGTACAAGAGCGTGGAAGTTCGCACCACTGACTTGAACACTGGCAGGATTGACACATTTACCGTCAAATGCGACAAGTCGCTGTATCCGAAAGTGAACTTGTCAGGGGTGGATCTCACAGACAGCAAGTTGAAATCACCAACCGAAGAGGAGTTTGGTTGGGACGTGGAGGCCTTGAACATCAGCATCTTAGTCATTGACAAGGCAGTGCCTGTGACAGGTGCTGCGCTCGCAATCATGGACTACTGCCTTGAAATGCATGAACTCACGGTTCTCGTCAGGCCCCAGGATAAGGAAACGGTGTCCAAAGACATAGTTCTTACCTTGCTGCAAAGCCCCGAGCTTCTCACGGGTGCTTTGCTCACGCACCTCGTCCTGTTTCCGCGGATGCACTTCGCAGACTTGGTCCTGGAGCCCGGCGACGTCACCTCTTCGTCCCTGCTCACTGCCGCGAGCTTCGGGAAGTTCGACGCACGGATGCTGCAGAGCTTGGGAAATCCGGCCTTCAAGGGAACCGAGTCCCTGATCACCAAAAGGGCTCGCATGCACCACTATGTTGGCAAGGGCTTTGAAGAAGGCGAGGTCATCGAAATGTATGAAACTGGGGCCATGCCCAGGTTTAGGACGGTCATGAGCTGCCCAGCTTCTACGCCTTTTGCTCTTGTGATCGGCGATGTCTTCGACAAAGTCAACTTCGAAGGCGGCGACGCAGCAAGCAATCTCAAAGACTTGATTTGCGAGCACAAGCAGTACATGCCAGGGTCCGACGAATGAGCTTGACGATGAGGACTACTGGCCGCTTCGGGCAACAAATGTAGCTTGAGAATCCCGAGAAGCCGTTTGAGGCTTTGAGGGTTCCGGGCTTTCAAGTTTGCTTGTTGACCTCAAAGCAAACGAGTAGAAGGAATCACAGTGCCCCGACATTTAGGGAACAATTCAGGCTGTTCCACTGCAAAGTAGTGGATCAAATGAATTTGCTACACCGGCATAGCGCAATGCTGTGTTTCAACAAGCACTGGGCTCAGAACATGCCAGCGGAGCACAAGAGCGCTTGGCTAGTTGAACTGGTGAGGTTTCCGACCGCGCTTAGTTTTCTTGTGATAATCTCTTCATTCCGAAAGCACATTCCGCCCTTTGGCGCGGCTTTTGGGCGCAGACACCTGGCAGGTCTTCACCAAATGGCTGGGCTGGATAGAGCGCCGCACCCAGTGAATTGAATGCGTGGTGACGCTCTCTTTTTGATCCTCCCAGTATGCTTTTAATACGGCTTCCAGTTTGTGGAGGGGTTTGCGGGTAGAGTTCCCCTACGTACTAGGGTGACAATACCTTATGATTGATACTTGCCTCAGGTCATGAACCTAATACCTGCAACTTCCTGAGGGTACATTTTTTTGCCGTTTGGCAAAAAGACAAATTTTTCTGCCGTTTCGCGAAAAAAGCGCCGTTTGCCACAAAAACTGCCGTTTCACAAAATGCCACTTTGAAGCCCGTCTAACGGTCGGGAAAAGTTGCCGTTTGGACGGGAAAAGTTGCCGTTTGGACGGGTAAAATTGCCGTTTCGATTTGGCAAGCGACCGCCTGCAACGCTCAACTTGCAAAACTGTCGTTTCGCAAAAGAAAGTGCAGTCTCGATGGAAACAATGTTTTTAACCAAAACGCAGAAAAATGTACCCGCCGGGAAGCCGCAGGTATATAGATCATTATATGTATATTAAATAAATATATATATATATAATATATATATATATATATATATATATACATAATCGAGCATCGCTGTCCCGTTATTTCAAGGCTCGTCGTTCATTTTTGCCCTTGAAGTTCCAACGGCTGACACTGTCAGACTGGGACACATCTCGTTTGCGTGTTTTTGCCCCAATTTGAGAAGGACAACACCTCGATGTGTCACCCGACTTCGACATCGCGACTCACGGATCTCCGCGGCATCGACCATACCTCTTGCGCTTGTGTTTTCGATATCACGAGCTAGGGTAGACCTAGACCCTGTTGAAGATTGAGCAAAGTTGACCCTAAAATGCCCATGCCACGTGCACAGCCAGTTGATCAGACGTATGGATGACTTGAAGGAACCTAAGTGTGGTGATGTAACCACCGACTTAGTTGCTGGTGGCTTCGAGGCGTGCGTTGCACCACTCCTTTCAAGTTGGCGGCTTGAGCACTGGACCATCACCGCCTTGCACATGCCCCACAGTGCAGCAGCCTGTTGCCAGAAGTAGCTCCATCAGATCAGGGGGCCAGGAGGTGGGCACGATGACAACACCCATGCCGGCGGCTACATTTTGATGGGCCACAACCATGTGAGACGGCCACAACAGCTGCGTCCACCCAGAAGTGAAGCAATCACGGCCTTCAAGTCTGTGCTTTTTCTCAAATCAGCGACCCTTTTTCCAGGCAAACCGCTCACAGCACTGGTTGAGTTGCGATCGGAGGTCCAAGCTCCGGCAGCTTGTGAAGCACCTGGAGCAGATCCCGCCGTTTGGCCGGACTTGGGGTCTCAAGCAGTGTGCGGTAGAGCTTGGCCACCTGTGGAAATCCTTAGGACCATCTCCCAAAGGTGGGGGGTGGGAATGCTGAGATAGCCCTTTGTCTTGCGGTCATCCCTTTGCAACCAGGCCTGGAAAATCCCGGCGAACATCGTTAAGACTAGGTTTGCCTCCAAGACACAAGCGACACAGTAGAACTTGGCACTTTGGATCATTGGGCCCCTTTGCATGCATGCCCAAGGTCAGTGTCAGTCCGGCTGCTGCCTAAGCTGGCCGCGGGATCTTTAGAATAGCTGCTAGGATTTGCTTCAGTCCCCCCAGCTCCAGCTTCAAATTCCTTGTTGCGGTCGCTTGCTTTGGGGGTTCACTGAAACGAGCTAAAAAGGACGCAGCTTGCAGCTCAAATACCGAGGCCCTGGCCAAACCATTTGGCTTTCGAGGCGCGTTTGGCGAAGTTGCAGGCAACTCCTTTTCAGCCGTTTTTTTTAAAAGAGGATCTAGTCGGCGAGACCCTCACCAGCTTGATTTTTTGGGTTGCCTGCTTAGATTGCCCGCAAAGGGATAGCAGCAATAACATGGCCTTTCGGGAGCCAGGATCCTGAGTGGAAGCACGCAGTGTCTATCTTCATGGGCCTGTCAGCCACCCAGCGCGCGACTTTGGCTCCTTGCAGAAACAGGAACATGGGCATGGGACATAAAAAATGGTTGGCTTCCTTCTGGTTTCCATCATCGAACAAGGGGTACCCTACCCTGAGAAAAAGACACTCATCCTTTGAAGTCTTTGCACATAGACTGCGGGAAAGAACATTACGTGGCAAGACTCCAACAGTTGCGCAAAGGAGTTAATCCCTGCTGTTTTTTCCATCTGAAGGATCGACATGTTGCTCTCCCAGTCAAACACACTGACACAGTCCTTTTGAAGTAGTGGGGATGGTCATCAGCGCTACAATCGGGATTCTGGGTTACTAAATGGATTTTAGCAAGGGAGCCATGGCTATTTGTGCCAAGAGTTTTGACATTACTTGTGAGCCCTGTGCCCTCAAAACAGGCTCAACACATCCACATCGGCTAAGGGATTCTCCAACTCAGTGTGTCATGACACACGGCCGAGGAATGTGGAGAAGGCCCCGGGTCAGCAAAGCCACTCAGTCTGCCCGGGCGAGTTTGAGCGCACGTGGTGGTGGTTGCAATCTCTCAATATACGGAAATGGGAAGCCTTTGCAGGCAACTGAACAACAGAATTAATCCGCTAGAATGTTAGGCCGGTGCTGCATGTTTGCTTTTATTTGGGGCCATTCTTGCCGATGCGCTGTATCCCGCGGGGGAGCAGTTGCATTGCTGTTGCAGTTCTGATGCCAGGTTGACTTGCGCCGGACGGCTCTGCGATTCGCAGAGATCATCAACGGCTGGCGGGCGCCCAAGATCAGGAACGCAGGCTCACGTCTCTTGACATATCTGGGTATGTCGAATGAGAAACCCAAGTGTTTCTGTTTTCTCGCTGTTGCGTCCTTCTTTCACCCTTCCGGGAGCGGGTCTCGCATTCTGAGACAAACACCTGGGCAAGAGCAATTCATGGGCGGAAAGACCTATCGCTGACCTTTTGCTCTGCTGTTGCTGGTTGCTCTGAGGCCGGATATGTCCCAGCACACCGGGCAATGCGAAATGAGAGTCATGGCCTCGGTCAGCAAATCATTCACAGGGCTCTCGGCCCATTGTACCTGGGCAAATCCTTTCCTCCACTACATGCTTTTGTGAGTGTGTGTGTGAGTATCATGCATGTTGGATTTGGGGGGGGGATTCTAGGAGTCTCGTTGTCTCATGCTAGTGCGCACTGAGATACGGGATGTCAGACGACGGGACCTGCCCAGCTTTGCAGTTCCGGAGCGGGCATCCGAGAGTGGGACATGGATATGCCGGTTGTGCGCCTAGCCAACGAATGTCCACGATGAGAAGCCAAGCTGGCCCTCACTGGTTTGTTGAATAATTTTGCTGAGCTTGAGAGGTCTGTATGCCCACTTCACCCCTCACGAGATACCTTCCGATCCAACAATCACAGAAGCTGACAAGAGGGTGTCGAAAGACTACTTTCCTTCGGGGAGGCCCCCTGTCTACTTCCATGATTATCATCTTTGAAAAGAGGGTAGGTGCGCTGGGCCCTCGATGAAGAATCAAGAATCAGGAACGCATGTCGCTTTACAGCAAACACGATGTTCGTTTGTGTCAAGCAATTCAAACTCCCAACCGCTTTCTGGGTTGCTTGGGCCACAAAAGGTGTGCAGGTTGGGAGTTGTGAGTTACGAAGGGTGATTCTCCACCCGACGAGCAGGGGTAGGTAGATGTCAAGTTGAATCCGCATGTGTATGTGTGTGTGTGTGTGTGGGTGAGTGGGCGTGTTGAAGCAGCGTGTGAACCACAGCAGAAGAGACGGCAACCGGAGTAGCTTCTCCGCAAGCACACCCACCCGACTGCCCGCCCGCCCGCAGGCCCGGCAGGTTCTGCACACCACACTGCGCATGATGCGCTAAGCGCGGATTTGGGCAGCAAAATGAAGGGGTCAGTTAGCTGATGGCGTTCATTCGCCCTGGATGAACTTGAGTCTTCAAAGAACGATGAACCATGATGAAAGCCAAGGCCTCCAGATGTCCCTAGTGCCATGTTTCTGTTCGGACAGTGCAATCCAGGACGGTCAGAAACCCCAAGGGCTGCTACGAGCCTTTACGGCCTGGGTCTCAAGCTCGAACTCTGAGTACACGCTGTTGAAGCTTGCCAGGGAGCCAAGAAATGCTTTTGAACACTGGACAAAACATGGCAACATCTTCGTCACAAGCAAGGATCCAGATCACACAACTCGAACAACTTTGTTCATTGAAGCATCACACATGCAAGAATTGCTGCGCGGCATCGACCACATATCCACAACCCGGTGTGCAGGAGTTTCATCTTGCTTGATTGGAATCTTCAACTAGGATCGTGTAGACGTCTGTCCAGGCAGGGTCCAAGCAGCTTGGAATATGGGTTGTCTTAATATAGGGGAACCTCCAAACTGCCGGGTTTTGCCCTTTGATTCGTCTTGAAACAAACAAACATAAGGGGTTGAATGAGCATGCGCACACATGTCTCGAAGTAGTTACTTCTCTCCATTTGTAAATGGTGGACTTTGGCAACTCGAAAACCATTAAGACCCTGCTTCAGGACACGCTCAATTGACCCACGGGAGAAGTAGCGCTCCCTTTTCGCTCGCACAATTCATTGACCCCTTTTGACATGGGGGAGACCCTTCAAAATGCTTGCCGGGCTGCATGTCCATCAAAGGGTTCAGTGGAATTCATACCCATTTGGGAGCCCCTCTTGGGTTTGTTTCCCCATCTTGAGAACCACCCATTTGGCTGTGATTTTTCAGAGTTGGAACCACCCCTTCAAAGAGACAAAACTCCAACGCCAGCGCCAAGGACGACGTGCCCGGCACTGACGAGGTGGCGCAGAGTGCGGCGTTGGCGCAGGAGGCGGCGGCAGAGGGACTGCCGCAGCCCCAGTTGGGAGGGTTTGAGCGTGTTTTTTGTTTGTTTGCATTTTCCCGGGGTGCGGGGGGGGGGGGGGGGCTTTTTTGGCGGGGAGCGGGGGAGGAGAGGTATCCTTTGCTTTTTTTTGGGGGTACTGAGAATCATTTAATTTATTGCTCTCTCATGTTATCCTTTGAAAGCCAACCGAAGGGGTCCCGAAATGCCAAAAGAAGACACTCCCGTCTCGAGCATGGGGTGGGCTTGGGGTTTGATCAGCCCTGTCTTGCCGGCCTGCAATGCATGGCAGTCAGCAAGCAACCAATGAAGCAGCGACCAGAATAAATGACTCTACGCGAAAAATCGACCCTGGAACCGCCACAAACCAAGCCTTAACCCATACATACTCTACCCACCGTGAACTAGGAATCGCTAACATACCGTTGCTGCCGTGGCTTTGAAGAAATGGCAGAACAAACCTTAAAGAAATCAAAACAGTCTTCCATATGTTAACAATAGGAGGGCATTTGTCCTGGCTCAAGGAAAACAAACTGCAGCTATTCCAATTGCAAACCTGAAATCAGCCTCTATGAAGCATGAGACTTCACCCCGCCTCGAACCGACTCTAGCTCTTGAGCCCTGAACCAATGTCAAACCCGTCGAAAATGAAACTGCCAACCCACCTCAAAGAATGCTGAACCCCATGAACCAATCAAGTTCGGATTCATTCTAAACCAGCTCCTGCCCCATGATGGTAAAGACTTGCAGATGTCGCCGGCAAGCATTTTTTCAGGAGTTCCCACTGGGGACACCCCTAAGGCCCGCGCCCGTTCCGCTGGAGCCCGCGCTTGATTCCCGGTTCCGGGAGAGCGTGGGATTCTTTGGAATGTCTTAAAGTTCAGTTAGGGTTGAGTATGACCCTTTCGCTTGAGTCCCCAAGCTGGCACAAGGATTCCTTTGGGAGTTGCTTGCTTGGCTCTCAGGCCGCAACCTTTGCCTCCTGGAATCGTGGAAGGCCGGTTAGTTTGGCCGCCATGGCCCTCAGGTCTTGTTTGGCAACTCTGCGAAAGGACATCATGGATGCTTTGAGCCCTGCAAGCATGCAACCTGCGGCGAATCATGTTTGATGCCACACTTCAAGTTTGCTAATCTTGGGGTGCGCTCACGTGTGACAGTACATTTGGATAGTGCTTCACCTTGCTGGTTCAGTCGTTCAAGCCTTTGGGCAGGAGCTTGTGCCCTGTGCCCGTTTGTTCAGAGCCTCTGGTGACATGCCCAAGTTTCCTGCGAGGCCCGCCAAAGAAGCGAAAGCTGGCTAGACCCTCGGGTGGTCTGCACGTGATGTCGGCTGGTTCACCAAGGCCATGCGATGTCTTAATGTCGAGATCCGCAAGGGAACTGAGCGATGCTCAACATCGGCCGTGCGGACATGAGCCAACCCAGAAGCCCTGCTTTTTGCTGAAGCTTTGCCAGACCTGTTCCGACTCAGCCCACAAGCCAAGGAGCCATTGCCCAACACGTGGCCGGCTCAGATCAGGGTTACTCCGACTGATTCTGCAACAATATGGCCATGCGGTTTGAGAGTTGGAACCTCAAAATGTTGGTGGACATGAATCCCCACCTAGATGATGTCAGGGTCACTTGAAACTCAGACCAATATGCTTCTCTTGTTCGGCATCAAAGAAGTCACTTGCGGGCTTTTGCTGCACGTGCATTAGATGGGTTGATGTGGCTGGTGGGTTCAATCATCATGATTCCAAAGAGAAATGGATGACAATCTGACCTGGAGCAAGCTTGCTAGAAGCTGTGGAGCGGGCAGATGGAGCACCCGCATTGTTGAACATGGCGATTTTGCCTGTAGGTGTCCGGTCGTTTTTGTATTTCTTAACCACAGCAAGAGCGTATATCTGTTGCAAAAGTGTCCAAAAGCGCGAGACAATAGGCACTGACACCTGCAGGATTGTGTCCACGTATGCTTGCTCCAGGCACCTCCAAGTGACTGGACGCGACAAAACAGAGAGGTAGATTCGATTCCCGCTCCTCGCCCTCCCCTCTCAGCTTCCGAGAGCATGCAACGCCGGCAATGCAACACGCGGAGAAGTCGTGGCCTTCTAGAGGTACTGTTGCCTCAGACGCGCATGTCTAAGGATCACCGCTTTTGTTTGTTGCTCTCCTTGGGTCACTTTTTTGTGCCGATGTTTGCAGTGTTGCTCGCTTTCACTCAGAGACATGTGCGCACTCATCCAGCTTGATCGTTCTATGCGGAGTGCGTGCCTTTTGCAGATGATGTTCACTGAGGCAAAACGAGTCCGGGAAGCACCGGGCCTCAGAGAGGGAGCCACAAGTTGCTGTGAAGACTGCAGAGATGAATTCGCCACCGAACTTTCTACCTTTGCTTCTGGCCAGCATTTGGTGCGACTTTTCAGCTCAAGAGCTTTTCAGTTTCGGTTTTGCATGGTGGCGGTGCATGGCTGGCTTCTCTGATGGAGGTTAGTCATGGACAGTAGAATTTGAGAAGTGAGCTGTGGGTTGCTTGAATGCTTATTCATGCCAGTCAATCTGACAGAGCCCAGAACGAGTATACTTGGATGGTACCCGGTACCGGGAGCATGTCGCAACATGAATAGGTGTGGCCGCCGTTGTAGATCCTCACATGGTTGTGCATAGGCTTTTTTTGATATCTAGGATTCATTTGGCTTGGATGGCCGAGGATAGTTGCTTTCAGAATGTGCTGAGCACACAACACTTGCTGACCTTCTTGCCCCAGTGACTTATGATTTGGGTCTCCATTAGGCCAGTTTAGCTTTTGCCAAGGTTCGGAAGGCCCCATTTGCCACGTGCTGTGAGTCGCAGGCGGAAGATGTCGAAGATCACAGTGAAACTGGCTGGCTGAAGGGCAAGCGATGCGTGCCCCTTTGTGCATAGATACCCGTGAGCGCCGTGCACGGCGCCGCGGCGCCTTGCATCGAATCGCAGCTCCAGTGCGCAAGCAGATGGGTATGGCTCGCAGGGTCAGCTGCCAAAATGGCATCTTGGAGTTATCCATTGGTCTGAGAGGGTTCAAGCTTGAGCCAAATTTGAATTTGCCGACTGCTTCCAAGGATCATTTCTGGTGCTCAAGACCTGTCGTAGGGGAGCTGGGCCCCAGGCATTCTGAGCGAACGCGTGAGGAAAAAGACATGGCGGAAGGCGCAAGGCGTATCTTTGTTGCAAATCGTATCTTCAAAGTGCTGCAGAGCTTTCAATGCGTCCCGAGAGTCCCGAGTTGTTGGAGCAGAGCTTTCACGTCTTGTGCCCGGCCTTTCCTTGAGCCGGGCGCGCAAGCATGTGTGCATCTTGCTGTCTCGGACCCAGCGCTTCAAAACACCGCCTTGAACCTGGCGAAGGCTGGATGTGTGTTGTCAGCTCGTCTCAAATAACATCAGCAACTTATTAGTCACCTGGAAAGAAACGGGGGCACAGTTCTCTGCAGGATCCCTGTAGTTCCTCAAGTTGACGACCGTTGGTGACCTCAACCAGGTGTTTTGACCATGACACAATACTTGGCTTTCTCTCGAGTTTCCATGCCAAACCGTAGATTTTGAGGAACATTGAGCAAAGAAGTGTCCTTGGCACAATGAACAAATCAATCCTTGGAGGGATTGTGTGTGGGTGACTAAAAACGATTGCACTAGCCTATGAGAACTTGGGGAGGAGACTCTCGCTGCCACAAAAAGCAAAGGGGACCAGACCCATTTGGCGAGCCACATCATACTCAGATCATGCCCACTGGTGCTCATGGTTGAGGGCTCTTCAGTCAACCGCCGAGCTGCCATTTCAAGACCATCAAAGAAAGCTAGCCGGTGGGAGCAGATCTTGTTCTTTTGTTTCTTCGCTTTGTTGACGTTTTCTTCTGAGAGAAAGGCACATGCCCTGGGGCAGCATTCACTTTGCCTTGCAACAATCAAACATTGCGACACCCGCGGCACAAACCTTAGGTGACATGGATCCTCCCATAGAGGCTGCTAGCATATCGGCTACGGGGTTGCTCCCAACAAACAACCAGAATTGAAGGGCAACGTGCTGGACAGTAGTCTCGTTTGTTTGATTCCCAGCATCTTTCGAGTGTAGCCGCAAGTATCTCACCATAGCTCTCAGGTGCAGAGCGGCGAGACAAGAGTCCTTCATGATCACGGCCCCATTTTTTCGAAGGTACCATCATTTTTTTCCGAAACGGGGAACATAGAGCTCCACCCAAATATCCACACTACCTCAGACTGTCAGATGCGGCCCTTGGCGCGGCCTTTGGCACGGCCCTTGGCGCAGCGATGGCCGTTGCGAGGCCGCGAGTTTCCGATTGATTCCATTTCGGATGCAAATCGGGAACTGGCAACATGCACACTGAAAAGTACCTAGCCAGAAGAGCTGAATCGCTGTGTTTTTGCATCTGCTGAGGCATAGCTTTTCCTGTTTTGCAACGTGATGACGATTTTTGTACCCTGTTAGGCGATTTTGCCTTTTTGCTGTGCCTTGAACAGTTGCCAGAGGCAGCCCCTGTGTTCATCACATCAGAAGAATGGATCCCTCACCATGAAATACTGCGAATTGCATGCGTGTTCACTTTACATGCGCCAGAGCAATCGGCCGAACTTGGCTGCATTCTCTTTGCATGTTTGCTTGCGTCTGTGCGTGTGTCCGTCGTCTCTGTGTGTCTGTGTGAACAGGCGCAGGCATTCGCTGGACCATGAACGGGGCACGGACCTCAGCGGCACAGCAATTGAGGTGATTCTTCACGAAAGCATCACACGCTTAGAGACAGCGATCCACTGCATCAGCTTCCATCAGCAATGCTCATAGGAGACATCCGCTTCTCATAAAAAAATGGCGCCACCCGCGGCTGAGATTTTATTGCAATCCGGCAAGCTCCAAGGCAACTCCATCGGCATCTTCCCATGCGCGAACCGCGGATCAGAGCAAGGCCAGTTGTCTCATTTGCAATTGCGGGCAAGTCTCTGAAGCAACCAAGCCGTGCGGGGTTCGGGGGGTCTGAAGTCACGTCGGCTTCATGTTCAACACGCCTTTGCCGCGCGCGAACTGTGAATAGATTCAATTAGGTCGTCTTTTTTTGTTTTTTTCGATTGGAATCCTTTTGCCCCCCGGGCCACATGAATCGGCCTTCCGACTCGGAGATTGAAGATTCTGAGCGCCAGGTCACGGTCCACTTCCTGGACCCCAACGTCGATGGCTTGCCGAGGACTCCGCGGATCGAGCTGCCAATCGAATGGTTGGGGAGTGGCGCATGGTTTTTCAAAACGGCCGGCGAAACAGGAGTCGTGTGCATTCATCGTGCAGCCTTTGAAGCTCAAGTCGGCTTTCGAGAGCAATTTGATGCTGAGTGATGTGCACTGGATATCCCTGGGACCATGAAATATAGTACACAAATAGTAAGAATAACAATCAACATATATATATATATATATGTATAATGTTCAAATATGTTTGTGTCACTCTTGGAAACAGAGAAGCCACTTTTCAGTTTGTATTTTTCTCTTCTTATAGAATTACGTGGCACGTATAGCTCAGCTTATCTTGGAGTTGGTAGCCACCCCGGCAGCCACCCCGGCCCTTAGCCCGAGGTATTCATTTCAAAGCAAAGCAAAGGGGGGGGGTCAACTCTCCATTGCTGAGACATGGCATCATCTTTTCCAGGAGTAGAACACTCAGGGTGTTCAGGGTTCCCCATTTCCCCCTTTTTTGGTTGATTCACAGCCATGTTTGATGTTCGATTTTTGTCGGAATGCTTTCAACGGAAACACATGGGTTTGCCTCACAATGGTTGATCTGTTTTGGTTTCCCTTTGCACCAACCAAAAGGGGTTCCCTCAAAAAAGACCCCAATGATATATATATATATATACACTCATACACATAATATATATATATATATATGTATATATATATATATATACATGTATATGCATACATATATGTACAAGTTGAAAGGACCCCTGGAACACAAACTCCTGGCATCATGGCGCACAGCCATGGCGGCCTCGGCCGGCCTGCACGCAGCACGCGCGGGTTCCGGGGAAGTAGGACATCCAAGTTGGGGTCGTTTTGGGGCCCCCGACCTGTTTTGGTGCCAGCATGGCCAGAATAGGTTTGAGGTTGAGATAGAAGAAGAAGGTTCCCAGTCAGAATGAAGCTCCTCTCCCGTGGCCAATGCTTCATTATGTTTTCTGGGAGATGGTGGTTGGATTGGCATGTGAGGGCCAGCCAGAGCCTATTCGGACAAGCACGGAACATTCCTCTCAGCTCGGTTGATCATGCCATCGAATAGATCCCAAGTGCTGCCAACCTGAACTTGCTTGTGGAACTTGCCTTTTTGCCGCTGTCCCTTCGTTCATGGAATGGCCCATTTGCTTGGTGTCTCTAGGTCATTCGTGTCATCCGCAGGTGCGCTCAGACAACGGGCCCTTGCACGTGGTTGTCACCAGCACATGGTTTCTTGATTTGGCTCCACATTCTTGATGCCCTTTGTGGTAGGGATGTTGCTGGAGGTCCCTCGTTAGGACAAACCCGCAATGAGGTGTGTCCGCCTTGCAGCAAAGCTGCCGCCCATGCTGGCTCTGGCCCTCTTCGGTGCCTGGTCTAGTTGCGCAAGGCAAACGGCCAGCCAGGCATCTCAAACGGTGAGCCCGTTGTGATTCAACTGAGACCAGAAAAATGCCCTGTTTGGTGGTCCCGAATTTTGATTCGTGAAATGCCAATTGTGCAAAAACATGTTTCGAATGCTGCCGATGCAGCAGGGTGTCAGCGCAGAACACACGTCCGGCATTTGTGAGATACGGCATCAGTCGTTTGATGGCTATGCAGCGTTGCACGAATCCATATGCTTAAGCTCTGACCAAGTTCAAGTCGCATTGATGTTTGCTGCTGACGGCCATGCTTTGCCTCGACTGCCAAGGTTATGAAGCATTTGGCAGCTTGGATGAATCGAGCTGCCCTTTGTCGCCGGGGCACGCGCCCTGAAGAGGTTGGTTAGTAAGTCAAGTCGACAAAAACATCTCACTGGTTGGCAATTATTCGGCATATTCTGCAGCAGAAGGGCTGCTAGGACTGCCCACGATTCAGCGCCAGTGTCAAATCCTCTGAGAGAGGTAGACTCTACCCGCATCTCACTGTGTTTTTTTTTTCACATGTGTTGATTCGCATGGACGTCTTGCAGCATTTTCATGGCAGACCAGTCTGAAACACCGCGCCCAGTCTACAACTGCATCGTGTTGCCCTGGTCCCGCGTGCTGGCCAGCAGCTTTGAGGACAAGGTCATTGGCACCGCGAGTTGCTCGGATGGTGCGGACTGAGGAAATTCGTGGCCAGAAGAAAAAACCGGATGCTTTCTGAACCTTTGGGGTGTGCTCAAGTGATGCAAGTGACTGCAAGTGTTTGTCCATCGAGAACCACGCAGGCCAACTTGGGCAGTAACTTGGGCAGTGAGGAAGAAATTGCGAACTCATGTCAATGCAATTTTGGCAAGGAGTGTGAAGGAGTCAGAACCACAGAAGCGGAACATCCCCAAAATGGCCGCGCGACGGCGATTTGATAAGCTGAACGACAACTGCATCTCAGGTGCTGTGACGTACAATGCTCTTTGGCTGTTGTCCTTGTCCAGCTTCTTGCATTGCAACTCGCCGGCAACTTGGCCTGACCAGCTTTCACCACATGGCGGTTTTTACATTGGCCCTGTGGCCGTGTTGAGAGCTTCGCAAAACCCCCCCAGGCAATAACTCGGTTCACGCATATGCACACCACCGGCACAGCAAACTGTCTCAGATGACAAAACAAGCATGTCATGTCTGACACGTGAGTGTGTGTGTGTGTGTGTTTGCTTTTGAGCAAGACGTTCATTAATTTTCACGCAATGTGGCATCTGTAGGTTGCTTTACCGACCCCGGCTTCTTGCCAGCCGACTGGTCGAGGCATAGGCAGGGTGTAGCACCAGCAAGCAACCCTGGTGATCCAATGAGAATGGGCCATGTCGCCCTTAAAGGTCATTGCAAGCATGTCCGATAGCTTAAAAAGAGCGGTGAAAATCATGGATTTGCGATTCGCGCGGCAACGTTGATCTGTTTTGGAGTCTAGGAATGACTTGTGCTTCTGAATACAGAGATAGACCTTGCCAGCGTTGTCACCTTCTTGCCTCTGACGGGGACTTGGCATGTTGCAGTTTGTCTGTTGGAAGTGTCTAGCCACATTTTTTAAAAGCCTAGTGAATGCTAGGTTTTGACGGCAGCCACGTACCGCATTTTGTTATTGAGCGATAAGTTTGCTGGTCAATCTGACTGCTTCGAATTAAAACGGACGTGTGCTGTTGATTGGGCCATCCCATCAGCAGGTGTTGCCTTTCGTCGGGTCATAGTGATGTGAGATGTGCCATTTGACAGGACAGTTGGCACCGGGATTTCTTGCAACACTGTCATCCCCTCCCTCCCTTTTCATTTGCCTTTTCATTTGCCTCCCCCTCATTGCTGGCTCCCCCAGCGCTTGAGCCGGTTCCATCCTGAGGAGCCCAAGCCAGATCAAAGCGTCGGGCGAGTGGGCGCTTCAGCCCTGCCGGCACTGCGGTACGCGGCCGCCACGGAGACGCCAAGCAGCAGGGCGGGGCCAGAGATGGGGGCCAGGAGGGCACTGCACGTTTTGGTGATCTCTAAAATGACAGAGTTCTAAAGGTGCTTTGATTGGATACATGGACCAACCTGCTTTTAACGAGGGAAACCAGGCAGCTCTTTTTGCCTTCTCTTCTGAGAATGCTGTGTGGGGATTGATACATCCCGTTTCGTTTGCGAACATCCTGTTGAGTATCCCCTTATTGGACAGAGTTCCATTCTGTGTATAAACATGCACTATCGGATGCCTAGCACAAGCACATGTTGGGTTAAAACTTTCTGCAAACCTGCTCAGGGTTTGCTCCCTCGATAGTATCTCTGAAAACTTGTCCACTTGGCGTGATTATCACAGCGCATAGACAATTGGCCAACCCTTTCCTTTATTGTGGTCCTCTTTGCCATGCTTGTTTCAAAGCCCAGCAGCGCGCGGCCGCCTGTGTAACGCACGTACAGGTGGGGTCCATTGCTTTGACGCTTGAGAACAACAGCCATCGACAGTCAGCTTGGCTTTTTTTCCTGGTGGTCTGAAACTGAAGTGAAGGATGCGTTTAGATGGGCGATCTCTGTGTAGTGGCTCGATGGGAGGGATGGATTTCACCTGGTCGTTGAGGCCATCACTGCAAGAGCTGCCGCTGCTGTGTTCTGCGCGCCTTGGATTCAGCGCTCAGAGAGTCTGTGCTCCAAAGTACCGACCTGGACATGGAAACCTCCCCAACCCAATGGCATACTCAAAATGACCCAACCCATGGGGCTTCTGGTGCCAGAGCGCAGAACTCACAGGTATGGACCACCACTGCCCCTGGATGGACAACTGCGTCGGCTTGCGGAACCACAAGTTCTTCTTGCGCCGCGGCTTAGATAAGAATTCTCGTGTCAGCAGGCGGCGGTTGCCACTTGATACTTGTTGCTTTTGGAATTATATGGAGATGTTATGATAGAATATACATGCACATTAATATATATATATAATATATATATATATATATACATATATATATATATACACACGCACAGCTTGCTTGCAGCTTTCGGCGTAAGTGTGTCGAAACCTGTCTTAGCCCACCTACATGAGATATCTGTGGTGCCATTGCTGCGGGCGAAAGCGATGTTTTGAAGAGCTGGAGCCAAGTGCTGGTCCCCTCTTTTCACGACGGAGGCCATCTAGAAGCCACTGGTTTGTGGTCCATGCGCGTTCCCGAAAAACCGCAATGAACTCTTTGTCTTTTGAGCATGGATACCCGCGGTGCTTAAAACCAACTGGGTATGAATTTGAAGAGCTGGAACCGCCTCCGCAGTGGTTGGACAATCCTGGAAGTCTGATGTCCTAATGTGCAGCGGGTCCCAAATAATAATTAAACACAAGTCGCACCCATGTGAATCCGCCGGAGGGTTTCGGATTTCGGATTTCGGATCCAAGCCGCGAGGCAGAGCTGCTTCTATGGCGCTGCTGCCTCTGCCACGCTGCTAGCATCCTTCTTCCCCCTCCGCGGGCAGGCGGGGGAGGAACTGGGGGCAAGGTCTTGTTGGATTTGTGGGCGATCCAACCTACTCGTTGTGAGTAAGATGCATTTCAAAAGGCATGACATGCCATCTTTATCTTGAGACTTTCTTAGGCTGCCGCAAAGACATGAAAGATAGCTGGTGCATTATTCTAAACGCTTTGTGCGGACGGAGCAAGCAGAAGCGCCAAGTCTAGGTGAGGTGGTCGGAAGGCTTCTATCATACGGACTGCACCCCTGTATTTGGGATTGGGGCATGTCCAAGGAAGGCTCCCGTTCCGTTTTCTCCTGGTGCTGTCCACGAAGTGCGCATGTTCTCGACAGATCAGCAGAATGACGTGACGCTTCTCGTTCACAGAGGGCCGAGGCAAACTCAAGTTTGTGCCAAGGGGCTCTTTTCGCAGGTATCAGAGCCCACCAGGGTTTCTTCAGACCTCCCGGTGCACCGGATCGCATTGCATAGCGTTGTCATTGTGTCGTGTAGCCTAGCATTGTGAACCGAATACCATCAACGGTCTGCCAGCGAGGCTTCTGAAATCCTCCTGCCATCGTCGCGGGCTCCGCAGGAGCTGGGACTGCCGGGATGCACTGGATGCATTGGTCCCCTTGTTTCGGGCTGGACATATGCGTCATGGGCGGTTGTGTTGCAGTCGGGAGTCTTTCCAGTTGCTTTTTTGCCAGAGCTGCCAGCTGGCGTGATGGTTTGCTCGCAATTGTCGTCGTTCTGTCCATGTAAGCTGCGTGAGACTATTGATAACCCAGTTCTTAGTTTGCAGCTGCAAACAGTTTTCCACCCAACTTCTCAAAGTAATTGCTGTCCTGACTTTAAACACATGTGTGAGACATGTGCGGTCCCCTCAAGATGGAGCTCACTGTCAAGAGAAAGGGCATATTACCGCAAGATTCCAACAGCTAGCTGGGTTGCCTTCTTTTTGGCCATGTCATAAGCTGCTGCTACATCAGATCCCTTGTTTTAGGCACATGGGTATGTGGATTGCTCTATGTTCCTTTCGGTGTGGCCATCATTTGGGGTCAGGGAGAACACCAGTGGGCTGCTGTATTGAAGCCATCGCCTGCCTTTTGTGCAGATGAGACCCATTTCGGCTGGATGGTGCGCCGACTGATGCAACCAAAATGGGGACCGATTTCATATCTGAAGAGTCGACCAAGCAGTCGCATATTCCTCAGTTGGATTTTCGTCTGGACTGGAAAACTTCAAGGCTCACATCATGTTGTTCCATTCTTCCTTCACGATGCCGCCTAAAGCACAATATGCCGGCCCTCACTGTGGACGAGGACCCCCGGCTGTTGCGGGACGCCGGTCTTCTGGCGGTGGGCGTGGGCTTGGCGACCTCTTTCTTCGCCGCGCGGCTTGAAGCCCCCGCTTTTGTGTACGCTTACACGTGGCATCAGCGGTGTTGCAATGCGACGTGCTGAGTTCATTCGAGCAAAATCGAGCTCTAAAAGTAAAAGTCGAGGTGGCACTTGGAGGATTGTTCATCAATGGCTTCTCCCAGACGCTGCAGAACCGAACCAGCATCGAGTCGCGCTATGCCGGTGCCATGGTTGAAATAGTCCTGCGCCCTGCCGCGTTACAAGATGATGTGCAGACAATGGCAGAGTACTAGCGCAACTATCGAGCTGTTGCGGCGGTTCTGGCTATCGCCAGGATCTCTCTTCAAAGTGGAATGACGGTGCGGCACGCCCATGTGACCATGTTCCCAGATCTTCCCCAATGGGAGCCTTCAACAATCATTATTTAAGGGCTGCCGCCCAGTGCCGCCGACCCCTGGATTTAGTTGTGGTTTTGGAGCCACAAAAAACAGTGCCCTTGGTTTTGGTTTCTTTGGTTTCTTTTGGGTGAAATGTTAGTGGCCCCAAAAGGCTAATCTTGTATTTCAGGGTTTTGTTTGCATTTTTGAAGACACGAACAGGGACTGTGACTTGCTGGGCAACAAATGATCCCTGTCATGATCACTATCATCGTAGCATCCTCTGCATTACCAAGGGTGCCTAGCGATGATCATGACTACGCATCACTATCGAAACGGCACCTCGCCTCAGATGCCATTTGTGTCATTGAGATTTGGAGTCCTGCCTTGATGATAATCATCACTACGCATCATTCGCAGCATCTGTGGCAATCATGAGGATAATCATCACTACGCATCCCCAGCATCTCCAGCAGCGATGATCATAATCATGACTACGCATCACTGTCGAAACGGCACCTTGCCTCAGATGCCATTTGGGTCATTGAGATTTGGAGTCCTGCCTTGATGATAATCATCACTACGCATCATTCGCAAGAAACCAAAGAAACCAAAACCAAGGGCAGTGTTTTTGGTTGCTCGAAAACCACAACTAAATCCAGGGGGCGGCAGCCCTTGAACAAGAATGAGATGATGATGAGCATCATGATGATGATGAGAAGAGCGATGACATCATAATAAGGATGATCATGATGATGATTGTGATGATAACTATCATCGTAACACCCTTTGATGACAAGGATGAGGACTGTGATGATAACTATCATCGTAGCATCCTCGGCATCACCAGTGCCGGCTACTAAGAGACGATGATGACCATGATGATTACGGTGACAAAGATGAGGGCTGTGATGATATATATCATCGTAGCATCCTCGGCATCATCGGTGCCGACTAACAAGAGATGATGATGACCATGATGATAGTGATGATAAGGATGAGGACTGTGATGAATCATGATGATGATTATGCATCGTAACACCCTTTGCATCACCAGTGAGAGATGATGATGACATCCTCGGCATCACCAGTGCCGGCTAATAAGAGATGATAATAACCATGATGATAGTGATGATAAGGATGAGGACTGTGATGATAAGTATCGTCGTAGCATCCTCTGCATTGCCAATGGGGTCTAACGTTACTTTTGAAATGCATATAAGAATAAGAACAAGAATGAGATGATGATGATCATCATGATGATGATGAGAAGAGCGATGACATCATAATAAGGATGATCATGATGATGATTATGATGATAACTATCATCGTAACACCCTTTGCATCACCAGTGCTGCCTAATAAGAGATGATGATGACATCCTCGGCATCACCAGTGCCGGCTTTCAAGAGATGATAATAACCATGAAGAGAGTGATGATAAGGATGACTGTGATGATAACTATCATCGTAGCATCCAATGGGGTCTAACGTTACTTTTGAAATGCAAAAAAGAATAAGAACAATAATGAGATGATGATGATCATAATGATGATGATGAGAAGAGCGATGACATCATAATATGATGATGATTATGATGATAACACCAGTGCTGCCTATGAATGATGATGATGATGAGAAGAGCGATGACATCATAGTCAGGATGATCATGATGATGATTATGATGATAACTATCATTGTAACACCCTTTGCATCACCAGTGCTGCCTAATAAGAGATGATGATGACATCCTCGGCATCACCAGTGCCGGCTAATAAGAGATGTAACCATGATGATAGTGATGATAAGGACGAGGGCTGTGATGATAAGTATCGTCGTAGCATCCTCTGCATTGCCAATGGGGTCTAACGTTACTTTTGAAATGCATATAAGAATAAGAACAAGAATGAGATGATGATGATCATCATGATGATGATGAGAGCGATGACATCATAACAAGGATGATCATGATGATGATTATGATGATAACTATCATCGTACAGTCACGCAACACGGCGTTTTCCGCACACGCGTGCAACATCAATCCAACGTAAGAGGGGGGCGGCTGCTGTGACGCCGCACAAATGTAGCTGGCAGTGGCGTCTTGGCTTCACTGCGGGCCGACTTTGCGACGTCCACTTGACGTACTCCAAGAAATCCTCGCGAGAACGCCCTGGCATCATTGACGCCACCTCAGCAGCCGTAGGGGGGTCGCTTCCCACGACTGGAGGCTCACCCAAGCCAATTGCACGGCAAAGTTCCTTCGACACGCTTTGCTGGCGGAGCAAAATACCGTCTGACAGGAAAGCATGCCGCCAACACTTTTGAACTGCAGCTTCGATAGTCTGGCTAATGACACTCAGCCACGTCTCTGTGTTGACCACACCGCCTGCCACTCTAGACTTGCTCGCGCGCCAATTCTCCCGCAGAGCGTGCTTGAAACAGCTGAAAAAATGCGAATCGCATGGCTGCAACCAAGGGGTCATGAACGTTGGGATAAAAACAAGTCGAATACCCTTGAGCTTGGCAACCCGCCGGATGGATGTGTGGATGTGGACCCTGGCGCAATAGACTAAAAGTATGACGTAGCGGCAGTGCGCCAGTTCGCCCAGCTGCTTGGCCAGCAGCACAATGTAGCGCCGCATGGCCGCGTGAGTGTTCCAGGCTGTCTCCGCCCTCCAGTAAAATACATTGCCAGGGCGATCAGGCTCTGCCCCCTTCAAAGCCGTAAGCGTGAACGTGCGCTTGTTGCCGATGATCACTTGCGGAAGCAAGGGTTGGACAGACACGTCATCAGCGATGGACGCCAAGTAGGAGACGCGACAACGGAGCTGCGACAGAGAAGCCTTGTCGGCAGCTTGGGCACCTCGCACAATGGTACCACGGAGGTTGCCAAAGTGAAAAGCGAGCGACGTCTCGTCCATGTTGACGAAGAGAGGTTCCCGCCCATCTGGCGCTTGCGACAGGGCGAAATTCATCCACTTGAAGAAGCCCAGGGCCTAGCAAAAAGCCGACGCAGGCCCACAACCGCAGCCCTGAATCTGGCTCCGAAACGCGGGCCCAAAAATGGGGCCGCCTAGCAGCCCCCAAAATCGGCCCGCCAGGAAGCCTCAATTTCACAAGCCTTGTTGCAGCCCCTCGCCTATATAACTTGAAACACAAGCACAAAACGGCTTGAAAAAACACACCAGCCTCGGACCCAGAAAAGGGGCCGCCTGGCAGCCCTAAAACGCGCCCCTTACAATTACTTCTTTTGCAAACATCCAGCACTTGGTAGCTTCACAAAATCGCGCTTCTGACCCTTGTGAGTTAACTTCTTTCAAGGAGCCCCTGGCCTAGACCCTTTAGATAGACAGCTGCAAGCCCGCAAAACGGCCTTCATCTGCATCTGCTCCACAGGCAAGACGTTCTGAGGCTTCAAGGCGCCGAGGCGTGCCCCCCAGCGAGCCCGGAGCCTGGCCAGCCACTTGCGCTGCGCGCGTGGCTTGCCTGACAGTAGGGCACGCAGCTTGCCTTGCGCCTCTGCGCACATGCGAGCAGGGACGCACATCAGCGCTTGTTCCACAAGCTGCGAGCGCGATGGCGCCACCCCGTGCTCCGTGTTCTGCGCAAAAACCCAATGAAAGAGTTTATCTTCGACCACATAGCGACCAGCCAGCACCTGGTCTTTCACAGAAAACGAAGACACCGCCTCTCCTGTCTGACTGCGAGTTGCCCAGACCACATCCTCCAGTAGGTCTGCCAACTGCCTGTCTGCAGGCACCACACCATTCTGCTGACGCCTCCGACCCCACCCGCGCAAAAAATGCGCAGCAGTGGCTTGCGAGTGGTTTGCGAGAACGTAGACCAACTGTGCGAGCCTCACAGCAGGCGCTTGCGCCGGCGCTGCCACCTCAGCTGCTCCTCCGGCTGCCTCTAGCCGCCGCTTCCTTCTCTGCAAGTTCCGGACTTTCCGGCGCAATGCTGCCAGCTGCTCGCGCGGGGCTGGCCCTGGCACAGCCGTGTCCGCCATGGCTGGCGATCAAGCAGCGCCCGAGTAGCGCAAACCTCGCCGCAACACCTCCAAGCGCAAAAGCTTGTTTCGCACACTGCTCCGTTGGCCCCGTGAGCTTTCAAAAAACTTGCCCCTTGAGGGGCTTGCCGTGGGGCTTGTCAGTCCTCCAAACTCCAGCCGTCCGTGCAGCGCTTGGTCCCCTCCAACAACCTCGCGCTTCCCAGAACAATGCTCTAGGCTAAGTCCGAGTTGAGGCTGAAGGCGGTAAGACGCAATCTACATGTTGAACATGAACTGAAGACATGGCTGACACACAAGCAATGTTCCTGCACGCCGTCGCCTGCTCTGCAAAGGCTGCCCCTGTCAGAGCGCGCCAAAATAGAAGCCTGTAGCAAGCAAATCAGACTGCGCGCTTGTGCACAGAACCAACACTTTCAAAACCTGCCTCGCCTTCTCCAGACACACTGGCTTCACAATTAGCTCCTTGCCTGCCTGAAATACAAATCTGATAACCGTCGCAAAAACAAATGTTTCCTGGGCGCCCCGCCAGCTGGAAAACCTGCAGCGCAAAGCAAACATGGAGAGGCGCCACACGAGAGAAAGAAATGCAAAACGCACCTGCGCCGCTATTGCCTCGTTTCGTCAACGCCCTCAATACAATCGGTCTTTGACCTTCCTAGCCTGCAACGGCTTCAGCCCGAGCTCCGCGACAAGGTCACCTTCTGACAACGAGGCTAGGAAGCGTCCATCCACACCATTCTCCTTGAACGCAGCAACCACGTGCTCCAACTCCAAGGCCCGCAAATACTCGCAGACCTGCCCTACATTCCAGGCCAGACATTGCAGCCTCTT